TAATGTTGGCTCTTTGTTCGATGCTCATTTTTGTACCGATAAAAAAACATACTGACATATCAGACGCAAGTAATCCTCAAAGGATGCACCTTTCCAGCGAGCCAAGTCACATATAGGTTCCGCTAGCAGAAAATGCCCTATACACAAAGTCCTGTTTACTTTGAGACGCACCTTGTATTATTTGGATCAATCGCTATAATGCGATTTTGAAGGAATTCAAAGAAAAACTTGACGAAAAGCAATTACTACTCACCTTGACATTTCTGGCTATAACACAATATTTTATTTTAATTCATTTTCAATTGCCGCGTAATCAGCAACATAGTTTTCAAAATGCGTTGAAAATTCGCAATATGCATAATTTTGAGTACGTGATTGACCAATCAATCAAATCGGGTGTGCCGTCAATGAAAATTCTATAATGGAAACATCTTTCCGAGAAGTTGAAATGTATTTAAATAAGTATATTTTAAGTGTCACCATTCTTCTGACGTCTATATTTGCAGCATCGTATTATTTCAGTTAACACTCTGTTGCAATGAATATGGAAAAAGATCATGGTTTTTTAATCGAAAGTAGTCGTATGATTGCAAACAAAATATGGTTTTCTATAATAAGAAATTTAGCTGGTGCTGTGATCAGTAGCGCAACGGACGATTATAACAGTCTATGAGACCAAGAAACAAAGTTTATGATAAATGAAACATTAATTAGGATTTCACTGATAAATAAAGACAACCAAAATGAAATAGCTTCAAATTGCATAAAATGATATTCTTCAATAATTTTCACCTTGAAAGTTGACTCTGCCAATATTTTGATACCGTTTGGCGCTCAAGCGGCCACCTTTAAGCGCTCAAGGTGCGTAATAAACTATATACCGTTGAAAAGGGGACTTTGAGAGCTATCATCTGGCAAAGTTTAATCAAAATCATTGGAATTTATCAGGATTGGGTTGAAGAAAAGAGACTCAGAAGCCAATTTTTCTCACAATTTTTCATATTTCAGCCACACGGCCGGCGTAAAACGCCACCAAACATGCCGCATAATTTGTACACCATTTGAATGGAAATTTTATAAGGAATCTAAAACAGTTTGGAACCTCAGGTGACTCCAACTTTTTTCCATCATCTAGATACAAACTAATCAAAATGACACTGGAGTAAACTCATTTATTCCTTCTTTTATCCACCCAACGAAGTTACGGAAAAACCGAAATCCAGCCGAATCTACTGGCTGTCCAGTGGACAATGTCCAAATATATGACGATCGGAATCAAAATATGTTGCACAGTAACCTCCAAAAAATTATCGACGAATGAAAAAATTAAATGTGGAGAATAAAAAAACGTGTGGAAGGAGTTCTCTATCTTTTCTGGTTGTCTCTCAAATCACTGAACAAACATAAAATATATTCCTATGCTTAATGTAATCAGCTACGTTTCACATTAAGCAAAAGAAATGATTTGCAGTATTAAAAATGAAAAAACACAGTTATAATTGCTGCCTTTTATTCTTACAGAGAATCAGAGTTCAAAACATATGTTTAAATTAAAGCTCAATGAACCGAGAACAAACTTATTTTAATATTAAAAACAATTTTCATAGAAATAAAAAATATTTTCTTTTAAATAAATGAAAAAGAATTAAAAAAAAACTTTATTATTTTTGCCGTTTGCACGTAAATACTAACAACTATGAATATTTAGTGCGTCTCTTTAGTTAACAGCTGTAGTTCAGATTATATGACCCTTCGCTCCAAATAATTATTTCAAGAAATGAACGTTTTTATTAATAATGAATTTTAAGTGAACATTTATCAAAAAAAAAAAAAAAAATGGTCGAAACTGCTTGTGAATTCAAAAAATTTCATTAAATTTTCGAAGCTGATAAATTAACGTATGAAATATAAAAAAAAGTAAAAATGGAAATTAATAATTTAATATTACAATACAAAATTAATTCAAGGACAAGATTAACACAGAATTTACAGTAAATAAACTTCAAAGTTAGTGTAAAATGAAAGGTTTTTTTCTTCTGAGGATAAGTCAACGATTAATCTGAATGGTGAACATTGCCAAAGAAAATAAGTTACAGCTGAATTCAGTTTTATTCGCACTAAAATCTATCAACGCATTTCAATTTTCGTTAGAAATGTTGAAGCTGCGTTCGTTAACATACCATCGCAATATTACTTATGACTAAGTGAAAAGAACAAAGTGTTACATCTTGCGCTTATCTCTAATGAACAGAGGAGGAAAGCTTATGTGAAAAACCGATTTAATAATAACGAGAGAAAAAAAATATGAAAAAATATCGCACACAATTTATTTACAGCGGATTATAACTCTACTGCACGTCTTAGCATTATGAATCTGAACCATTTCTTTCGCATTCTATTTATGCATTACAAACTAAAACGCATTGATTATAATATTCATTTTAAATCGCTCAATGGAGTCTAGCTCTCTTTCGAAGCGTACTGTAAAACACTGTCAATCAAATCAATAGATGATTACGAACTTATTACTCAAATATGTCTGAATGAATCTTCTTTTTTTCATGTAATGTTATAACCCGAAGCCGTATATTGAAATGTTTACGTTGCACAAACTTCTTGCATAAGTGTAAGTGTAGTTTATATATTAGAAATTGTAATAAAGTACGTTAAATGATATTTAAATTTGTTTACTTTTGTTCATCTATTGATCTATGCAAGTTAATTCTTTGTTTATTGGAAACTTAATAAAACGTGGTGATTTTACTTTCCACGGTGTTGGTAAGCTTTAAATTAACGTTTTACAGAGAGAAAAAAACAATAAATTTGAATTAAAAACTACGATCGAATTTTGTTTCGTTTCTTTAAAAAATCATACCATTTCTCTTATCTAAATTTTCTTTTGTTGGTATTTTAAATTGAAATCAATGCCAGCACTTTTAAGACATATACGTCATCATATTTTAGTGGATTTGAACTTTTTTCAAAACAATCGATTGTTATGCTTTTGCTAAGAAGTGTTCCTTCTTAGACGTTTTCGCCGTCGGCATGTACGCCGACGGCTACTTACTTTGACAGTAAAAACATAATCAAACGGAAATTAATGGCTTTGCTGGCTAAGAGGCGATTGCATTCAGAGCTATCAGGCAACGGCAACAGAAAATATGGACTTTCATATTCTGAATCGGTGAAATCATGCTTGTAAATTTGCGTATTCAATTTCATGTCATAAAATGGCCCCTTTAAAGCAAAAAAGTGAATTGAGAGCGGAGTGGAAGTTTTTGTCTTCAATATCAACTGAAAATAGATAAGAAAACGATACTATTGATTGCCATCAAAAATAAAACAATGACTCTTATCATACTTGGTAAGTGATTTTTCGCTCGTGATTTGTGTGGGGATCACGCTGTGAATCATTAATGCGTGCTTTCACCACCCACTGATGATTAAATGCTGTGAACCGGGATGTTTCATAGAACAATTTATGCACATATTCATCGGTGCGATACGGCTTCATTTGTAAATCTGTTAATTGGTCACAATAAAAAATGAATCGCACATTCAAACTAAACTAATTAATCACACGAAATTCAAATAAAATACCATTGAATATGATTTTCTCGTAGCTCAGAAGTTCAATCAAGGTGGAAAACAGTTTACGTTCTTCATTTAATTTAGCATCATTCTCTTGTAATGCCAACATTACTTCGGCTCCGGTTTTTTTCGGATGCAAACAAGATTTTTCGTGCGTCGATGCTTAAAATTGTAAACAAAGTGTACACAAAATTTGTTAATATTATTGCATTATCTAGCATAGTCTAGCATAAATCCATTTTAATTCATTATCATTTACCATCATGGATTGGGCCTTGCCATTTACAACCAATACGTTGGTATTTGCAATCAGTTGGACGTAATTCGCAATCAGCTTTTTCATGATGCTCAAGAGATTTGCTTGGATATTCCTTTCCGCAATACTAAATAAAATCGATCATTAAATCAATGAATGTTTTCTCACAATTAATAACATTTTAGTGAATAAATACCTGACATTCGCTGGGTAACTCGCTTACTGCCTTTTCAACGGCTAAATTGCGTGATGCACTTGATTTAGAGATCTCGACACGACAGTTTGGACAAGTTGCAACTTGATCCCGTAATCTAATAAATAAATGAATTTCAATGAATAAACAATTTCAAATGCAAATTGTATAAAAGTACTTACCTTCCATCGGCCAATAAGTGTGTAAAGCATGCAGCGCACATCAAATGACCCATCTGACACTGCAAATAAATCATAATAAAAAAAACGCATAATGGTTAATTATGTAATTATTGACTAAAAAATTTAAAATATTTATGGCTGTAAATATTATATTATTCCTAAGAAAGAAAATGAGATTATTTTAAATTTTTTGGCAAATTATTAAAAAAAAACACACACCACCTGAAAATATACAAAGAAAAATTAGGGGAGTTACAATTCAGTTATTTAAAAAAATGATTTTTTCATGCTTTACATATATATGACCAGCACAGATCAAAATTTCTTTTGATTTTAATGTGTATGGATCATTTTTTGTATTAATCCTGGAACAAAATAAAACAAATCGGAAAAACGAATGAAAATGAATGTAGTTTTTTTGGTTGAAGTCAAAACTTATAACAGAAAAAGTAATTCTTGGTTGTTGAAAAAACATTTCTGTTCATTTTTTTAATATTTATTAAACTATTTACGATTTTGTACAATTTTTTACATTTCATTTTTAATGTTGTATATGTTGTTCTTTTTCATCACTTTTGTTTTATGTTTTTAGAATGTATTTTACTTCTTTTTTTCGTTTTCTTAAGTTGTAAACATTTCACATGTAATAAATAACATAATAATGTAATTTGTAAAACTTATTTCTAGACAAAAATAAATGTATTGTGAGCTGACTAAATGACTAGAACAAATATTATGTGTAAATATTTATCATAAAGTTTTTGTTTCTATCTAAACTACGGAGTTGATAACATTTTTGAGCTTAATTTAAACGAAATTGATCAGAGTGCTTCGAATAATTAATATATTTCTATTTATAGCAAGATAAGAAATACTATAAAATAATTAAGATAAAATTACGCTTTGAAAGAGCAAAAGCAAGATAGGAAAAGGTAGTCCTTAGTCTCTTTCAAACAAAAAGAAGATTAAACCAATTGTTGAATTGAAACGGGCAACAGTTTGAAATATTTATTGTTCCCATGAAAAAGATATTGAAAAACTAATATAAAAAAACATGTTGCAGATAATGAAGCATTGAAAATGCTTCTTTGCTCGCCCAAACATATTTATACGAAGCCACATGCAACTTTGACATATTTGTTTAAATGCAAAAAAAAAAAAAAAAAAATGTTTAAATTTGTCGACAAAATTCAAATTCAAGGCACGTTCACCATGTTCAGGTGGTTCATTGTTATTTTTACGTTCGAATTGTAATTAAAGCCCAGCATCACGGGCTAACTTTCGATTGTGTTGAATTTTTCCATTCATATTTATACCTTTCACAATTTTATTATCAATTATATTCCAAATATATATATTTAATATGTATACAAAGAGTAGATGGAATTTATTTGTCTGTATATTCAATTGATAATCGGAAATCACCAAAAGTCCAATGTATACACGCTTATCATAAAATTTTGAACCAAAAGCCGTGATTATTTGTTATGGTTCACATATGTTGACCGTAACTGTTTGCATACATCAATGTCCATTTTATAAATCTTGTTTTCAGCTATTTACTTCAAATTGTTGGCCATTGTAAAACGTAGCAAGTAACAATTATTTACACGATAGATATTCGCGCTCATACTTGGATGATAGTGCATTTACACAACAGGTTTTTAGTTGTAACGCTCACTGAATGTATACATAAACGGAAACGTGTTCCATAAAAAGTGAACACTGCATGTGAAACTTATTTCTTTGCCATTCAAACGACTCTCGATAAATGATTGTGTGCAATTGTGAAAGAAAATTATTGATATTTATCGCACAATAACTTGTATATGGTTGAAAAGAGCGGGATAGACAAATCAGCAGCTAGTTTCTCAACATTTCGCGAACACATGGTCGCCCAATCACTTCGACTGTAGGAAGATGTTGTTCATCAATAATAGAGTCGACCATTATAAAATAATAAAGATTTGATCATCATTGGACATAATCATTTTAGGGCCCAAAAAAAGAAACATCTGATTTTAATGTCGGAATTTTGCCAATATAATTTATAACACCAATTTTTTCAAAAAAAAAGCGATGAATCGATGGGGAAAATAAAAACAAAATGGTTGATTCAGTTCTTTTCGCCATCTACTTCATTCATATGCAATAGAACAAGTCTTGATGAAACCATAGAAAAAATCTTAGTTGGAATTCTTTTTTTCACTGCTCGAAGGCTTGAAATGGTGCTCCGGTACTTGCATTTAAGAATGCCATCGTTACCAAGAGTGCAAGAGAAAATACATTCGCAGTACCACTTATTGCGCAGGTCACTAAACTCAGCTGGTGTATTTTTACGCATTTCGTTTCATAGATTTTATACACATTAAACATCACACATTACACATATTACAAACTCTACAGCTATAGGAGTGGTATCGCCTCATTTCTATAAACATTCGTTTATATTTCTCGTTAAGTGTGTACACACGAAGCAGATGTATTGGAGCTGTATGCCATGTCAAAAACAGCTGAGATTTCCATTTTTTGAAACAATTTGTTTTGTATTCATGTCTTTGTATATTGTTTGAGAAAATGTTTAATTTGAATTCGTGTTTCAATTCAAATAAAAAACATACGAATTTGAAATGGTATTTCATCGAAAACTCTAGATTTGAACAATTGTGAAAACAATTGCAATAAATGCATGGATGATTTCTATTTAGTTATAATATATGTGATATCGAATTTCCCTGTTACAATTGATGCACAAGGGAAGTGCATCTGAAGGACAGTCAAATTGAGCCAAATGTGAGCGTTAGTACGCAAACAAACGACAAATATTTTCATTTCTATTTTTATTTTTCTATTGCTAGCTGATGACTACTAATAGATACTAGCTTTTCTCCGATCGAGTTGTGTATTATTTGAAATTTAGTCAAATTATGAACCTGCTGTCATTATGCATATATTTTTTATATTTCATAATTTCATTTCGTTTCTACACGATATGTATTTCTAGCGTTGTGTACAATTTAAACATTTCATTGGCATTGGCATTGGGAATCCTTGAGATGTTTTTTTTACTGATTTTTCGACAAAGATGTTACTTACAAGGAAACACATAGGAAAATACACTTGAAACAATTTAAACATTCCCGTATCAAACCATTGAATTGAATTGTTACCTTGGCACGTGGCCTTAAGTTTTCAATTCAAATTCAGTAAACATGAAGAAGTACGACTTTCATTATCATTGGCTTTGGAAAATGTGCTAGTAATGTAAATTCGTCGATTTTCGCCTTTTTTTGCAGATTCTTGTGGTATGGAATTGCATTTATAAACTATGACAACTTTTTCAAAGATGTCGTCCGTCATCTCTTATAAGTTAAGTAGAATCTTTGACTAGAAAACAAGTGAAATATGTCTTCAACTTTATATCTCCTCATTTGTTAGTTCAAAAGATTGATATCTTTTTTCAATTCGACGACCGAGAAAACATGTAGATAAATAAAAGTGTGAAGAAACGTAAACATCAAGTCGTAGTAAAGATCCAAAACATGGGATTGTGATGGTGATGACGTAATCTCGATTGTTTTACAAATATGGGTTATGCTAACTTCCCATAATGTTTCTATTATTTAGAAAATTCATATAAAAAATACGGTCTTTCATTGTTTATTTAAATATTTCCATTCGAATATGGTGCTTCAATTCGATATAAATTTCACGGACTCAGATTTTTGCCTTACTTTAGGTTTATAACAGTCAAGTTTATTTATTACATAACTCTATTCATGAAAGTAACTCACTATGTTACTTGAATAGTAATGTTATAAATGCTTCAATTTCAATCTAACTCAACGATATATAAAATTTTGAAAATAATTCTCTAAATAAAGACGATGATATGGCGGAAGACTGACGAAAAGGCAAATACAGTTCAGATTAGTTTTATGTCATATAAGTTTTATTTTAGTATAATTTGTTCATTTCTATTTTAGCATATTTCAAAAATGTCTTTTTCTTTCGTATAAATCTAACTGTACTTGAGAGCAGTAAACATTTGTGTTGTGAACTTTTCGTTGTTGTGCGCACACTTCCCTCCCATATATTTTCGAAAAAGTGTTTGTGAGAGCACAAATACAGAGTGAAGAAAAAATTATCGACCAAAACAAAATTGAAAAACGCAATACAGTGAATAGAGAGACGAACTCTGTTTTGATTAAAATATGCACGCACACATTGACATTGATGTGTATGAATGTGTTTGTGTGACGACTGCGCTGCTACTGCTATTGCTGTTTCAGCAACGACAAAACATTACCAATAAAAATGATGTGCAACAAAGCGAACAAAGGCCCAACGAGTGAATGAAAAAGTATGGTGAAATAGGAATTTAGCCTATGTGCCATACATTTACGAAAGACGAAACATTAATAGTAGCTGAAACTCCTAGGCCACATTATTTGAAAGTTTTTTGAGGCTCTGTTCGTGGCATTGGAGAGAAGAAAAAAACAACAACAAAACTAATACAAACAAAAAACGAACAATTGGAATGTCGTAATCGAAAACTATGATAAAAAATTCTTCTTAAAATCATCTATGAAATGCAATGTGCACGATTCTTTCATGTCCCAATCTAGTGCCCTTTTTTTATTTATTATGAAAATAAGCATTTTGATGTCTCATCGTCTCCCTCTTACATTGTTACGAAATTTATTTTAAATGGAACTAAATTTAGCTTTTTTAATGTATGAGTTAGTGCGTTGGGTCGAACTACTGACGTCTATAGAGTATTTGAAAGTAGAAAAAACTGCATATCGTTCAATGAGAATTCGATAATTTTATGGAAATGCCACATAAAAAAGCGATAAGAAAGGTTTTATATTGATATTATTTGGATTTTGAATGTTATTTTCAAACAAATTCATATGGCAGTCGCATGAGGTGGATGAATTGGACAATTGATTTAAAAGTCAATAGATTTTTCCTCAATCGTTTTCGCATAACATGTAGAATGATTTTGTGAGTTTTGTAAGGCTGATGTCGTGGTATCCGTCATTTAAAATGTTGTCGACGTCACTTATTTCTTTCTCTTTTTTTTTATTTTGTTTAAAGTCAAGCTCATTTTGTTTGTTATTTGCCAAAAAAAAATATATTCTCATTTCCATGGTTCGTTCAAGGTTTCAGAAAAATGTTCAAATAACTACTGGAAATTTCATATCAAATCAAGTGAAATAAAACGAAATAGCCATTTCTTATGGAATTGGCAATTCGTAACTCATACAATGATGAAAAGGCGTACGAACATTGCGTTCTACACGTACCTGATACATTGCCGTTTTAGGTAAATCCAAACAAACAGCACAGCAAAGAATCCCACCCAATCTTGATTCAAGCTTTTCACTTGTTTGTGATGTACTTGGTAATGGCGTTGATTCAGTTTTTTTTCGTTTGGCTTCTGGCTCATCATTTCCAGCTGAATCATTGTTCAGATTATTATTATTGGTGGCCGATTGATTGATTGGAGGCGGTCTCGGATTTGATTGCGAAGAAGCCGTGTCCACTTGAATATCGGCCGATATTATCGGAATGATATTTGAATTGGAAAGCACATTCAGATTGACGGCCTGCTGTTGATTTTGCAATAACGGCGATATAGATGACACCGATGCAGAGCTACTCGGTTCAACTATACTGTCCGCCATGTTGGCAAAATGATGATAATAGTATGATATGGCGAAAGATTTCGAATTCGTTAACGGTGTCGATAGACAAAAAAGAAACAGGCTCTGGAATGCAGTTGAATCGTCTTTGTTTTTAAATTAAGTCAACACTTTCTAAGCCAATCACATATGCCACATAGAAGCGTATAAGGGTCAGACGACAAAAAAAAAATTGCGTGAACTGTTTAAGCTGATTATTATTAAATCAATTAGACCGTTCACTCTATCAATTCAGTTTGTTGATGTTCACGTTGACTGAATGCGTTTATTTAATCTTTATAACAATTTGCCCTCTTGCTCTTCAAAATAAACTCTCTTTTCACTAATCACATTTATATAAATGATTTTAATCGCCAGCAAAATCAATTACGCTTCATTAATATATGGAAAATGTCTTCTAAATTGCTCTTTTCTATATTTACTCTTCCGAAAATTGAATTTTTATTTTATTTTTTGTAATTTTATACAAATCAAATACTTCTGTAAGATTTTTAATTTCTCAGTTAAAGTATGAATCTCTCGATACAAATTATGGAATAAATATTTGAGTGTATTCAACAACAATAATAACAAAGAATTTATCTGCCTTTGTTATGTTGCTCCAAATTATATTTGTAGAGAAAATCTAATCACACGACTTAACTTTTCGATGAGAATGAAGGAAATGAAAACTACGCAGCATAAAAATAAATTCACTATCGCGATTGCAACAAATATATGTGTGCAAGGCAATTGGAGTTAGACAAAGATAGAATATCACTCAATCTTTATTCCACGGAACAATTTTCGTTTTATGTATTTGTACGATGTGACGTTGTATGTGTAATCTGTATCAATGTAAATGTGACGTTGCAGAGCTGCTACCTACTGCTTATGTTAATATTTGGTTACATAAAACATGCATACATGGCTTGTGTGTATGTATATGTAACTTTGTGTGTGAGTTGAATATCGGCTGACATGCTAAAATGAGAAAACATTCATTCCTCCAAATAATATACAAGTACTCAAAACATTTTCATTTTATATGCAACGTCAATAAAATCAATCGCAGTTGTGTGTGCCCCACCAAAAAAAAAATTCGGTTGCAAGTGTAAGTGAAAACATAAGAGTTTGCGTAGCACATTAACAAAGAATGAGACCAAAACAAACCAGTATATTGGAAAAACATATGGGCTCTGCGTTTCACTCACACTTGTGTAAATGTTAAGTGCAAAAGAGATACAACGAAAACAATGTGTACTGTGTACTGTGGGCATCACATTCTCAATAATAAGGGATTTTGCGTTCAACTGTGTGCACTCACTGTATATATGCTGTGTGTCGTAGCCAGTCCAAAACGTTTCATTTTTATTACGTCGAAAAATGTTGCCAGAGCAATCTACACTGTTCTTTCACTTCATGCACACGAAACAATACACTCACCCATACTAATGCATATGTAAATATTGCACTTGAGCAGAGTTAATGTACAATCTCTTCTCTTTTTCCATTTTGAATTTTATTTTTAATATTTAATTCCCTTTTTCAAAATATGCCGAAATACAAAATTGACCAAATACATAATCTTTTACAGAAAGAAACATTTATTCAAATTAAGATAGTAATGCTAGATAAACTCTTCAAGCCAAATTTAGTGTATGAGAAAAGAAAGAAATTATGCTGATTTAAATAATGTTTCTTATTAAAATACTTGAATGAACGTTAAATGTAAGAGAAGACTCTGGTATGAGTTTAAATTGTTCCGGAGAGATTAAAATATTATTTTCAGATAATTTCATTCTGTTTTCTATGGAGAGTTTGCAATGTCCATATCCTTTTCGGATGCATCGTCTGATGATTCTCTTTTTGACGAGTCCTCTGTTCCAATTCGTTCCTCAGCATCGTAATCACGTTGACTTGGTTTCTCTTCAGAAACACGTTTCAATTTTCGTGATGACTCCTTGGATCTACTGCGACTTCGATCTTTTTCACGTCGACGTTCCTTTGGTCTTTCTTCGCGTTCTTCCCGACGATCATGTCGAGACGAATTCCCATGACGCGATGATCTTTCTTTCTCGCGACTTTTTGAACGGCTTCTTGACTTTTGGCGACGCTTTTCTTCCTTGCGTGTTGATTTTCGTGACTTACTGATTTGCGGAGAGCGTGAGTGTCTTCTTCTATCTCTCTCCCGTCTATCGCGACGATCGTAAGAACGTGACCTGGATCTACGTCTATCTCTCTGTTATGACAAATATAAAATGAGAAGATTTAAAGAAACATTCAAATGCTTGGAATTAAATGAAAATTCTTCTAATACACAAATATTGAATAGTCGATGCAATAAAAAGAATTGAACCAAATGCGAATTGAGTTAATCTTATTGGGCTTGGAGTTGTTTGTAAATGCATCACTAATTTGTTTTGAATTTATAATTGTCTTGAATGCGGTAGATTTTTCTAATAATTTTTTTATGAACAATCAACATTTTCATACATTTATTCAAGCCAATAAAAATCAAGGTATGAATTTAAATAATTTTTCTGGTAGTAGCTTGCTCATAGAAATTTAACAGAGTAAACTGAAAGGTAAATAGTTGAATAGTTGAATAGTTGAATAGTTGGCGTGAAATCCAATAAGATTTTTTCCCTTTAACTCCTTGTGAAGCATTGTGTCTACGATAAGGCATCTTCTACGATTACTGGCTGCGATCTTAGCTTCGTTCCAATAACATTGATTTTTCAAAATTATTACTTTAAATGGTCGAATTCATGTATTTGAATGCGCACATACTATTTCCAAATTATAATTTTACTGCAGCCACAGTCTCTGTAAAGATGTATCTTCAAAAAGGTTTGTCGCTTCGATGAATTCTTCCGGTTTCATTTTTCAACCAGGGTAAAATGGCATTGCTCACTGTTTACCTTTCAGTTTGCTCTGTTTAATTTATCTGAGTGTGACACATATAATGTAAGAACCACTTGTTTAGACAATATTGTTGAATTTAACCAGTACATGTTCTCTAAGAGGTAAAAAATATATTTCTTAACAAATTTCAACTTTCACTTTAGCTTTGGGAATATGCTAATACGAAGAGCCGGAAGTGTGCTCTTTGCTCAATTTGTATTTAATTTGGTCCATTTTTATGAGAGCCATCAAGGTTTTTTTTATTGAAATATGACTATTTATGATGTGCTGTGAATAACAGCCAATGGTGAATGAAGATTCAAATACTTTTATATATAGAAAAAAACCAAGAGCTATTTTTAAATCTTACCGAAGGTGAGCGGCTTCGACGTCTGGATCTTGACCGCTTGCGTCTACTTTCACGTTCACGGGATCTTGGTCGTTTTGAGCTGCATTTTAAATGAAAAACATGTTACTTTTCAATTTTAATAAGATAATTTACTAGGGGGAGACACGGGCTCTAATATTACAAATTTTTCCTATTTTTTTACGTACATTTGACAGGACCTAAATAACCCTAATCTTTCTTTTTTTTTAGTTTTCTAGTTTGTGTCTACCCCCTAGACAATTTGTATATTTACATACCGAGATCGCGAACGTTTCCTTCGTGAATGGCTGCGTGAGCGGCTGCGTTTCGAACTAAAACACCAATTATTATAACAATTAATGAAGTTAAAAAAAAAAATCAATTTTAGTGGCATTGTAAATAAATATTCACCGTGAGCGAGAAGCGGAACGCTTCGATCTAGATCTGCTGCGCTTGCTTCTTTTGCGTGATTTTGAGCGGCGAGAATGACTGTGAGAACGTGACCTGGATCTGGTGCGAGTTCTGTGATGAGTAACTGACTTTTCTTTTGATGATAGTATTCCAATAACCGGATCCAATGCGGCCGATATCATATTTTGGGTCTCTTTTACAATCGACATTGCTTCTTCGATTTCACGCTGAGCGGCTTCATTGCTCTTTGCTTCCGGTTTAATGATTGATTGCATTGAATGATATATATTTAAACGTTTTCCCAAAAATTCTGAGCCGTGTAACTTAAGTGCTTTTGCAACACTCCTTTGTTCGCAAAATTCAATCATGACATGTTTTTGTCGGCTCTTTTCAGCAAAGCGTCCATATTTCACTTCACCCGCATACTCTCCAAAATGTTTGATAATTTCTTGTAGTTCCCAGTCAGCCGGAATGTCAATCAGAATGATGGTGCGACGAATTTCTTCAATTTTACGTGCATCAAAAGTAATTGGTAGCGGTGGATATTCGGGTAGATTAAATTCTATGAGCTTCGGATCCGCCGTTTTGATCACCTGAAAATGGAACATATTCAAATATAAATATTTGATAAAATTGATTGCTCTGATAAAGTTAATACTGAATGCATACCTGAAATGGGTGAATTCCTTCAACGCGATTCACAACATCGGGTGGCAATTGTGAATCATTTGCTGGTAAGCCGGGAACCGAAGATCCATTGTTGATAATTTCCAACGCTTTGAACTCATCGGGAATGGTGCCATTTCCAACTGGACAGACAATCAAAGCTCGGTCAATAAAAACCGTATTGGTCAAATGCTGGGCAACAGCTACACAGCTGCTTTCAAAAAATTTCACGTAACAAACACGGGAAACCACCGGACAAGTCACATCCCGTACCGTTGGATATAATCGAATTTCGTCAATTTTACCGATGCAACCAAAAAGATTTTGCATTTGATCTTTTGTCGCTTGCGGTGCTATATTTGTAACCTGTACCACCTTCGTAGACATGGTGCGTTTTTTTCGTCTCTCGATAATTCTGTAAAAGGTAGTGGAACTACCACACAGAGTAGTACTATAACCTGACAAAGATGCAATTCTAGATCTCTCAGAATCGAATTTATACGAAATAAAATTTGTTTTTGCAAATTAAACAGACATGTCGCTTTCCTGAATCAATTTTCTCTTACAATCGTTTGCAATACACGCCAATCGGAGCCATTTTTCGGCAAAGTGACATTTGCGGTAAAAATGGCGAAACGAATGTCAATTTCTCTGTCAAATTCAACCGTATTGCCCGATACATTTTTGAATATTCCAAGATACCGGGAAAAATATTGGAAAAATAATATTTAAAAAAAAAGACTAAATTGATTATTGCGTTTATTATGTATTGCAATCTTTTTCAAGTTTATCAATATTTGAATAACATTGACTAATTTTCGACTAATCAGATTGAATACTTGGCATAAACAAGTGTGATTGAATAACCAAATGTCATATATCCTAAACTTGCAATCGAACGGTAAAGTGTGGAATTGACTTATATCAAGTAGAATCATAGCAGCATTAACACTGTATAATTTACCATCACGATGGCTTTCCGATTGATTCGTAATATTGTAAGAAATTTATTTAATAAGCCTGTAAGACTCATTTTAATTTGTATTCTATTGGAAATATTTTATTCTGACGTAAAATTATGGTGAAAGTTTATTTAATAAGAAAAAAATAAATAGTCACATTGTGTTGAAATATTGCGCGAGTGTACGTAAAAAATTTATCGTTCCATTCATATGATCTCGTAGGATACACTACGCAATTACGTAACTGCTGATTTTCATTTCGATCAAATTTATCTTATAACATTTTTAATTGAAGTTGAATTTTTTTACACGACACAATAAGGAAAATAAATAGTTGCATTTGACTTATTAGATAAAACTATGCTAAAATTGTGTTCAAGGTTACGAAACACATTAAAGGGTTTATCAAGGAGAATATAGGCTGACATAACCTCATTGAAATGACACAATTTCTGCAATTTTATACAAAAAAAAGATAACAAAAAATGTTTTATTAGTGAAACGTGAAATTATTTTACTTTTTCTGTTTTCAAATAGACAAATGCTGCACCAAAAAGTGCATCAATTGTTGCATCGACCTCGTCACGAAACTTTTCTTCGGAAGTGAAGAAAGTTACATTAATTCCAGGCGATGGAATCGGACCGGAAATTTCAGCAGCAGTCCAACAAATTTTTCAAGCCGCTAATGTTCCAATCGAATGGGAAACTGTCGATGTAACACCTGTCCGTGTAAGTTGAGCAATTTCAATGAGACAATTTGATACTGATTTAATTTTGAGAGGAAAAGGATAGTTGTTTAATGAGTGAGATTATTAAATGACTGTAATTAGTGATAATCAATCGATAGTAATAAAAAGAAATTGTGTTCCTTTTCATTAGCATCCTGATGGTAAATTTGGCATCCCTCAAGCAGCAGTTGATTCAGTAAATCAAAATAAAGTTGGTTTAAAGGGCCCACTGATGACACCAATTGGCAAGGGTCACCGATCATTAAATTTGCAATTGCGTAAAGAATTCAATTTATATGCAAATGTTCGGCCTTGTCGCTCATTAGAAGGCTACAAAACCCTTTATGATGATGTTGATGTTGTAACTATTCGAGAAAACACCGAAGGTGAATATTCTGGAATCGAGCACGAAATTGTCGATGGGGTCGTTCAAAGTATCAAACTAATCACGGAAGATGCTTCGATGCGAGTCGCTGATTATGCCTTCCAGTATGCCAAAGACAATAATCGTTCGAAAGTAACTGCCGTACACAAAGCAAATATAATGCGTATGTCAGACGGGCTTTTCTTGCGCTGTTGTCGTCGAGTTGCCGCCAAATATCCAGAAGTTAAATTTGAAGAAAAATATTTGGACACAGTTTGTTTAAATATGGTACAAGATCCATCTCAATACGACGTATTGGTAAGATATTTTTTTGACTTTTATTCATCGATATTAAACTACATTAGAATGTTAAATTTGCCGAAATTATTATTACTTCCAACGATTGCTACTAGACGAGAGTTTTATACTTCTTTCACGTTGTTGGTTCTGACCATTTTCGTCATGCGACGTCAGTTCTTCATCCAAAAGTAGTTCGAAATTTCCTAACGAATCTGCTTCGGGTACCTTGTTCCAACGAACATCCGGTACTCCACTTTTGGGCAACACAATTGATAGAATATTGTCAATGAGTTTGTATTTAAGAATTCGATCATTTACTGTGGTCGATGTTAAAGATGCTGTAAAAAAACACAAAAGTTAAATTTAAAGAAAATAACTTGGACAGAGTACAATACATACGTGATGCGTTCACTTCTACAAGCCAAGGCTTTAATGTATTATCAATAATTATGTCGTATCCATAACACTCAAAACAATGACGATCTGCGACCATAACTGGAGCGACTGCACGCAACGAGTGAACAATCAACCATGAAATATTTCCGAATAATTTATCGGTGACTTCTTTACCTCGCGTGCCTTCGAGAAATAATTTTAAATTTTGAACACTCCACTTTCCGCCATGCAATGTATTATACTCTCCCTGCAAATAATTTCCATTTATTTAGTAGGCTTTGCAGTTTTTGGAATAGAAATTATAAGTTATACGTGATTTTTTTGCACTTACTCCATGCTTTTGTACACTGACATTGGTCAAATGAACGTACATGTTATCGAGTTCCGTCACACTTGTATCATATTTCACTGTGCAAAATCGACAGAAACCCAATTTGAATAGGTAGGCTTTTAGTGGACGAAATGATGTTACAAGCACATACAATCGCAAATCAAATTTTTTGCCACCGATTAATAGTGGATTATCGATGTATCTGGAAATGACGTAGCTCTCTTTACCCGAAGTTATTTGTGGATTAAATGCATTGCTACGCGCTTCTCGTGACCATTTCTTCAATTTTGATAATTTGTTGATCAAAAAAATGCCAGCTCCTTGTGACTTGCCACATGGCTTCATAATCCATGTAGTTTGTGGATTTTTTCGATACTCTTCAACAAACATATTGTAATCTGAAACAATGTAAAACAATTGAATATAACCGATGATGTACACTGATATACAATTGATTACCAACCAGCAGGAAGGACAAAAGTTGTTGGTATGAAATCTAAATAAAGATATTTCAATCCGGTCGTTCCAGTGTCAATTTTTTCTGCCAACGCACTGCTGTCTCTCTCCAAATCCTTTCGATATCTTTTGATATTTTTCACTAAAAGATCTTTTCGTGATAATTCATAATGGTTTGGGAAGTGATTTATAATTCTGAAATTGAGATACATGTAAGAACGGTTATAAATGAAAAAGAAATTACGAAAGAACAAATTTTTAGCTCACTGATTATCTTGCATACGATAACCGCTCTCAACGCTAAATATATTCCGACATGTTGTTGTACTGGCCCAATAAAAATTCCAATCATCTTCGGCACTCACCGATTGCCAATTTCTCTTTTCAAAGTTACTAATTAATACCGATTTATCCATATCCGTACAGTACGTTATTTTTACTCGTTCATTCACAAGATGCGGAACGATTCTCCAGCAAAAAAAAAAACAAGATATTAGAGAATAAAAATTGTTTTTTTTTTTTTTTTGAAATTCATATATTTACCTTCCATACAAATAAGCAGAATTTGAAGTTTTCTTAAAATCGTTGTGAGAAGACATATTGAAAAAATTGGTTCTACTTCGAAATACAAAGAGATACTCTTCATATTCTTATGCGAGTGAATCGATATATTTATAAATAAATTGTTTGTAAAAGTTTCTATGGAAACAATGTAATCATAATATAATCATGCACATTGACATTAACTTGTTGGTTTTGTTTATTAATCTAGGTCATGCCAAATTTGTACGGAGATATTCTTTCCGATATGTGCGCGGGATTGGTTGGTGGTCTTGGCTTGACTCCTTCAGGAAATATGGGATTAAATGGTGCATTGTTCGAATCTGTAAGTACATGTCATAAGAAACGATGGGCGATATTGAGTATTTCCCTAACACATTCTCAATGTACAAGAATTAAAAAAAAAAACTAAAACATTAATTTTGAATTAATTATATAGGTCCATGGAACCGCTCCCGATATAGCTGGAAAAGATTTGGCTAACCCAACGGCTCTTTTGTTATCGGCTGTGATGATGTTACGACACATGAAGTTAAATACGCATGCCGATAAAATCGAAGCTGCTTGTTTTGCCGTAATCAAGGAGGGCAAATTCTTGACTGGTGATCTTGGTGGCAAGGCCAAATGCTCTGAATATACAAATGAAATTTGTTCACGGTTGTAAAGTGTGTCAAATTCTGAAATCAACATACACTACATTGTGTTACCGAAGCAGTGACAATATTTTATTTAGATGAAATCTGTACCATTTTCCCCTTTATAATTTATTTCTTTTTTTCTTTCACATTTTTGGCAATCAACTATACCAAATTTACATAGAAGAAATGAAATGAAGCCATTATCATTTAGTTACCAAAAAAAAAATATCATAGTATTATCATTTTTTCCGTCTCTCTCTTTTTTTTCTTTTCAAGGTCCAAATAAAAAAAAATACGTATTTAAATGGCTCAATAAAAACTATATGTATTTATTCTTCAGTTATGATCTTTTATTTGAATTTATAATGGGAATAAGATTTTTCATAGAAAAACTATATTGAAAATGCAGACAGCAAGGTAATTAGAGTAATCTATCTTTCATTCTATTAAATTTTAAGAAAAAAGTGTTTTGAATTATTTGCGTTTGTGGTTCAAGACCAATTCCATTTTCAGTATAATTAATTTATTTTGAATTGTTCTTGAATTTTTTTTAGAAATCAATGTGCAATCTACAAATTCATTGCTTATAAACTACTTTAATCAATTAAGCAGCCATGTTAATAAAAAAAAATCTGTTATGCAGCGTGGACTTTCGTATTATCTGGTCATCATTTAATTAGGGAAGAAACATAATGTAGACTTATCAATAATAAAGAGAATTAAAAAAATAGTCCCAATACAGTCGACGCTCAAAAATCTAAAGATTCATAAACTGAAGACAATTTTTCGCGAAATTTTTAAAAAAATTACTTTTGGGAAGCAAAATAACCTTTAATTATCATGAAATTTTAAATTTTTTGTGTATTAATTGATATAAAATATTTTTACAATTGACTTTTATCGATATTATATCAAATAAGCTTCAATAATTTTCATTTTTCGTGAAATTTGTTAATTGTTCCTATCATTTATACTTGGTTTGTCCAGAAATCTAAAGAATTCACAATTCTAAAGTCTCTGAATAACAAACTACTTTGTATTTTTGAGCGTAGACTTTATAACGAATAATTTGTTTTTGTAATATTATTTGTATTCATTTTTGGTATTTATTTTATACACAAACTGACAATCCATGTTAGAAAAGAACATTTCTATCATTTCACGTTTATAAGTAGGATGTTTCCGTTATTCTACATTACATCAGGACCATTAAATTAACTTTTTCGATCAACATTAAATTTTGTGCTATTTTCAAATTTAATTCAATAATATTTTTCAACGATAATTGAAATCTGATTGTTCTATATGTCAAAGTTTTTTTGAAGTAGTAGATGTACTTCGATGATTAGAAAATTTGACATTTCTTTGACTATATTGCACTATCAAATGAAATTTTACGTCAACACAAAAACAAATAAATAATATTTTAATTTATATATTATATTTTTAACGTTTAAATGGAAAACCTTACACCATCTTTTGTAAAAATCATCGAATGGAAGATGCTCGACAAGAGAAAATTCTTTCCGCTTTCAATGTTGAGTTCGTTTAGTGTTCGTTGCACACTTTATCCTTTGACATTGATTAAAACTCAGTTGCAAGTTCAAATTAGAAATGATGTTTATACAGGACTTATTGATGCAGCATGCAAGATCTACCAAAGAGAAGGACCAAGAGGTTTCTCGTTATACAACAGTTATATGAATAATGTAATATCAAATTTTAATATTATATTCATGTATTGTAGGCTTGTACAAAGGATTTTGGATTTCGTCAATGCAAATATTTTCAGGCGTTTTTTATATAAGTATAGATTATTATTATTATTGTTTGTTATCAATATTACTTCACGTGTGATTATCAATAGGTACGTATGAAGGTGTGAGACATTTACTCTCCAAATATGACACTGGTGAAAGAGCAAAATCATTAGTCGCTGGCGGATGTGCTTCGTTAGTTGGCCAGACGTTAATTGTTCCATTTGACGTAATTATATTCACATCAAAACACACATATTTATACATAATATATATACGTATGTAGGTTATTTCACAACATGCCATGGTACTTGGGATGGGCAAGCTCAATCCACTGGGAATCGAAAATAAACAAAATCAAAACCGAATGCGTATATCGTTGGATATTGCAAAAGCAATCCTACAGAAAGATGGTTTTCGAGGCTTTTATCGTGGCTATGTGGCAAGTCTGATGGCATATGTACCGTCGAGTGCGATATGGTGGACGTTTTATCACTTGTACCAGGATAATTTAATTAATATTTTACCACCTAATGTTTCACATTTATTTATTCAATGTGTTGCCGGAACGATGGGTGAGTCACTCTAAAAATTTCATTGCTATCTATATTCTTTTGATTGTTTGTTAAAGATGAATGGAATTTGATTAATTGTTTATCTCTTTTTATGCATTATTATTCAAAAATACCTTAATCAATTTAATCATTATTATTTGTTGATTAATTTCACATTTTTGCAATTTTTCTCATCAAATTCTCTCCTAGGTGGATTCAGTAGTACTTTGTAAGTTTTTGTTGAATTATTTATTATCACAATAATTTCTTAATTGGTCAATATCTATTATTCATTCCATTAACAGAATAACGAATCCACTGGACATAATACGTGCTAGAATTCAGGTAAATACAAATGAAAATGGCATTAAATTCCAATAAATGATCGTAACATATCTTATATATTGCAGGTCCAGCGCCTTGATTCAATTCCTTTGGCGTTCCGTTTGTTGTGGATAGAGGAGAATTCCTTGAAGAAAAGATTCAAGTTACTTTTCAAAGGTCTTTCTGCACGATTGTTGCAATCAGCTGCATTCTCTTTTAGCATTATACTTGGTTATGAGTCGATAAAACGATTATCAATTCAAGAAGAATACAAACATTTGGTTCGTTGGTAAAAAAAAAGGATATACCGAAGTGCATTTATTGTTTAAAAATGTAATAAATATTAAATTGTTTTTTCTTCATATTATCGAAAATGTAAGAATTTTTTCTTGTTTCTTTTACTTTTCCGCACACCCACTGTGTGCTGTAAAGTATTGCAATCACCCCAAAATTTTGAAATCGCTAATAATCGTTTTTCTATGCCATGTTCTATGCGTTTTCGGTATAGAGAAGCACAGAGCAACGGTTTTTTGGCCATGTTAATGTGGGGATGTGGTACACTGTACAATTGTACACGGTGTACGCAAAAAATCAATAGGTAATTTGTTAGCACGATAACTCTTCTTAGAGAAAATCAAATCCAAATCTGATTTTACAGGGTGGTTGTGGGTTGCGAGGAATAGGCTGGTATTGTTTTTCAGCGATATTAGTTCATGGGTGTATTCATGGTGACACCATGATGGTGTACCCATATGGGGTATGGTATGCAAAAATTTGTTAATCCGATAAATCTATCTCTAGAGACTAAAGTTTGAAATGTGTACTGGGGGGTTTTTGGCACGAGAAAACCAAATCCGGCGTTAGTTTTGAGATACAATTAATATTTGACACAGTTTCTTTGAAAAAATCACAAAAAAGTGAATTTGTGTATGGGAGCCATGATATTAAGCTGCCGTAATGACGTGAAACTTTGTACAGGCTATTTTTTACACAATAAAATAACATTCTGAAAGTTTGAAATAATTTCAATCAAAATTAGGAATACCTCCCATACAAATTTCTATGTTGAAGCTAAATTGAAAGATTACGAACTTAGCCGAATTATTAGTCAATTACACAAAGACAAAGTTAATATAACTATTCCAAAATTTGACATTGAATTTGATGTTGAAATGAATGATATTTTGAAAAATGTGGGTATTTTTTCTATTTTGCCACGGTTTTGGTAAAGCATTTTGTTGTTGTTTTTTTACAGTTGAATATGTCTGGAATATTTAGTGACAAAGTAGAGTTGATTGATGTTTCTGAACCTAATGCAAAACTCCATTTGAACAAAGTGAATCAAAAATCGTCCATTGGCATTGACGAAATTAGCACAACAGGAAGTTTCATAAAAGATTTTCGTCGTGGAGGTGAGTTTCTTATTTTATTTTTGAGAATCAAACATTTTCAAATAATATTATATTTTTAGGCTTGCCAAAGCACAAATATGCATCAAAGTTACCTAACATAGTGGATCATCCATTTTTATTTTTGGTTATGCACCGACTTTTTAATAGTATTATCTTCAGTGGTCGATAAGTAAAAAATCAAAATAAGAAAAGCCCATGAAAAAATCTAATACATTATATATGAATAGGCTTCAACTTAAGAAGGTTCAATTTTAGAAGGCCAAGATTTTTTTAAGATTGGAAAGTTTCATTAGAAGGTATGTGTCTAGAGGCGATTCTTCTGATTATCACCAACTAACGGAGCGAAGTGAAATGGAGTTATATTATACAGTGTTGTTCATATTAGTAACTTTGACTTGTATTGATTTTGAAATGAATGAAAATGGCTGATATCTACTGAACATATGAAACAAAAACCTTTCATTTATTTTTTTTTTCTTTACTTATTTGTTTCTAAGTTAATAAGCTTAGGACACCATTTGAATACTAATTTTCTTTTTTAGTTGACGATTTCTCATTTTTTGGTCGCGTTTCTTCTTCTTTTTCAATGCATCGTAAAATAGTTCGGCTCCATTTTCAAGTTCATCCTGTTCAATGTCGTGTTGTACCATTTTCAGTGCGAATAAATTTTTCCCAATTATATCGCGCTGTTCATTAACTGTTTCTTCTAAATCAGTTACCTAAGGGGAGATTCACAAAAGAAAATAATCGAATTAATTTAAAATAATCGAAAAATAATTGTAACGTAAAAAATTAAATCAGTTACCATCTGTTGTATGTGCGGTAAAAGTGTTTGATTCCCGATAATTGGTTTGCGATGTACGCGAAACAAAAATGTAATCACTTTGCACAATAGTTCTGTTTGATCTGTACGTTTTACAATGATTTCAGGTAGAGCCTTGAGCAGTTCACAAACTGAGGTAAACGGTAACAATAGAAGTGCTTCTTCTAAATCGCTAGATTTTATCCGTGAAAGTATTGCAATAATCAAATCCACTGGTGTGCTGACATTATGTGCTCTCATGAGCAATGGAATCGGTTCACCCTTGTCAGCTTCGTTGAAATTTAATAATATTTCCAAAGCATCCATTAACAATTCTACAGCCTGTTCGGCGGCAACAGTTTTACGTGATGGCAAATTTAATGGTGCAACCATGCCAGCCATGACATGCTCTTCGTTTCCTGTGGCTAATTTTTGTTGTTCAATTTCTTCGCGTTCCGTTTCTTGCATATCTTCTAAGACGATCGGTTCATCACTTCGTTCGTACAATCGAATACATTTATCGGAACCAGTACTAACAACGTAATGACCAGTTTTGCTTACATCTAAACAATATGCATGACCCAAATGTGGTGAAACTGATTGAATTTGTACAAACGAGTCTGCGTCCCATTGTTTCACTTTTCCATCTTTGCCACAAGACCAAAACATGTGTGTTTTTGGTATAAATTTAACGCACATCACAGAATCGTCGTGAGCAAATAGAGATTTATGACAATCACCAAAGTCCATTCCCCATATTTTCACATTACGATCTGCTGAACCGGTAACAATTAGCGATGAATCGTCTGAAATATCTAATGACAATACCGATAATTTGTGTCCATATAAAGCCAAGTAGAACTTTAACGTATCCATGAAAAATAGTTTAACGGTTGAGTCCAATAGACCAACCGCTAGAAATTTTCCATTTTTCGATAAACCCACACATTGTACCGTTTCCTCCAATTTAAGAGTATTTTTGTGCAACAGCGAAAGGACTTTTCGATTCGTAGAATTCAATTCCAATTTTTCGTCGTTGTCGTTTTTCTGTTGAACTAAATCGATAAGTTCAAATGACCAGAACTTAACAGTTGCATCTCCACCGGCTGTCACAATACCCGAACCATTTGCTAACAATGCCATTGACCACAATTCTTTTTGATGGGCTGGAATTTCTTCTAAAATTTCTCCGCTTACAACATCAGCAATAAGTAAAACACCATCCATTCGACCGATTAGCACATGACGATCGCCCGGAGCAAAGCAGCAACAAAGTGCATAGCCTGTGTCGGAAATAGTTTGTATCGATCGCATTGATTCGCGATTCCAAAGTTTCAATGAATTTCCATCTGCTGACGCAACAGCAAGCGAATCAGAGCTAAAACAAACCGTGCGCACTTCTGATGCATGACCTTGAATTGTTCGCAAAAGTTCTGGTTCTGATTTCTTTTCTTTAAGATTCATTGCAAACACACGGATTGAATTGTTTGCAAATGTTCCGACCACACGCAAATTATCTCTGGCTCCAATTAAAACATTGATTGATTTCAGTTTGGCTTTTATGTTTATGGCTGGCAATCGTTTAATTTCATCGGTCAATGACACATTGCTCACATCGACATCATCATTTGCATTCTTCTTCAATCGCTTCTTACATCTGCGTGCAGCTTCTTCTTTCGAATAAAATAAAAACGATTCGATTATTTTACTTTTCGTACCATGGAATACCAGAACACGGCCGTTCGGATCGGAAACTAAATTACAAATTCGCCCCCGTGTGTCAGCCCGTTTTATAGAACCGACTAGATTACACCGCAGCGGTAAATGAATTTGATCTTCGGCAATATTTCCGCTAACCGCAGAGTCGCCTGTTTCATTATCTTCATCGTTTGGAATCAATCGGTAGACACTTATGTTGGAATCATCACAACCGGTTACCAAAAAGTCACCACCACGCAGTAAAGCGATTCCCCAAACTTCGGTTGTATAATCAACAATTGTACGAAAACAGCATTGTGTCGCAATGTTCCACATTTTAACTTGTTTATCGGTCGACGATGAAATGAGAATGTTACTTTCCGTATTCTTTTCATAGAAGCAAGCGTCTGTGATAGCACCCGAATGACCAGTTAAACGACATTTTCCAGTTTCAGACACAATATCGATTATCACCAAGTCCGTATCTTGTCCGCCGGATACCAAACGCAGTCCTAATCAAAAGTATTTTCTAATTATTTCTAAATGTTGACAATAGAAAATAGTAGTTCAATTAGTTACCTGACGCATCATAGCGTAGAATTTTTATTCCGCTTCTGTGAAGTGTGAATTGTGGTGGATTCGAATCATCGCCAATCAAAGATTGTAAATTGAATAAACGACAAACACCGTCTGCATAGCCTACTGCCAAATGTAAACGGTCGGGCGATGGACTCAAGGTAGTCACTTCTTCTTTTCCGCGAACAAATTCGAGAACTTTTTCACCTAAACGCAAATCCCATACGAATACCTTTTCCGCTGCACCTACGGCCACATAACGACCATCCACTTTGTCGTATGTTACAAATGATACATTCACATTTGCACTTGCAACTACGTTGCATTGTCCAACGTAATGATAGGCTAAATATTGTTTCGTCAGACCCATGCTAAAAAGAATCAAAAAAAAAAAAAAAAAACAATACATAAATACTTGTACTTTTGACGAAAAAATATTCTGATTGTTTTACCTTCGTCAACTACTTTCAGCAGCAACTGTAAATCAATTGATATCTTCACGAGAATATTGAGTGCACGTGCTGTAACCAAAATATACAATGAATGTCGTAAAACATATTCCTACATGCGACATTTGTCAAATTCCAATTTGGAGCCATTCCAGTGATTTTGACATTTCATTTTATAGCATCGGGTAAGAAATTCAAAACGCTTGTTCGAAAAAAAAAACATCTGTCAAAGAGAAGTGAATTAGAGTTCAGAAATTTTTCTGCATTTCAAAGAACAAACGACCAATTGAAAATTGTGTGAATAAAGTTTAAAAAAAAGAATAAAGGATGTCAGTGAACGAGATGACCGGATGGGATTTGCTGTATGATAGCATCGAAGAAAATTTAAGAACCAAAACAGACATATTAGTGGCAGTAACTCATTTTTATTTGACAATACGGGCTAAATTTCAGTGTGTGGGAAAAGGCGAGGTATGAATGTGTTATTATTCTAACTGGCAAATCATTTGTAATCGAATTATGATAAATATACGAGTATCACTTACAGTCGGCTTTCAACGCGACTCGATTTAAGAAGCGCCATCTCTTTCACGCCAGGTTCTCATATATTTTTTTCTTGCAAAATTGTATAAATTGAATAAGTTTTGCAATAATATTAACGAAAATAATTAATAGAATTTATAATAAATAAAAAAATTGAAAAAACACACAAATATTTTATATTATATGATTCGACAGATATCAATGTTTGACAAATACATATTTTCTCCACGTAACCATCTCTACATGGTCTACAAGTCAAAGCTACATATCATATAATATAAAATATTTGTGTGTTTTTTTCAATTTTTTTTATTTATTATAAATTCTATTAATTATTTTCGTTATTATTATTGCAAAACTTATTCAATTTATACAATTTTGCAATTTTATTTGCAAGAAAAAATATATGAGAACCTGGCGTGAAAGAGATGGCGCTTCTTAAATCGAGTCTCGTTCAAATACATCGTCAATATACAACGCAAGTGATACTCGTAAATATATCCATGAAATGATTTGTTATGAAATATGCAAAAAAATTTTTTTGTTTTTAGCCATTACCTGGCGATAAAGAGAAGAAAGGTCGCAGTTTCTTACCACCGAATTGGAATGCAAACGGCACATTGTATTCCTTAAAATATGTACTTCATGGTAAAATTTACATTTTATTGGGAGCAGTGGAAGGTGACGTACTTTCCCTAACCCTAAATGTAAGATATTTCAAATTTTGTTTCGGTCATATCTCATATGATTGCGTACAGGGGGAGGAAATTTTTTTAAGCCTAGAATATAAAGAGAAGTGTTTTCCTCCTCCTCAGAGGAACAATCCCTGATTTTGACATTTTGCTTAATGTGAAACGTAGTTTTATACATTAAGCTATGGAATAGTAAGATAAATATATATATATATGTATATATATATATATATATATGTTTGTTCAGTGATTTTGGAGAAAACCAGAAAAGATAGAGAGTTCGGGTTTTCGGCATTCGATAGGGCATGAAAAACCCTCCAGACGTATTATTTTCCCCATAAGTGCTCCCCATTTAATTTTTTCATTCATGGACCCTCTTTTTTGGATTCCACTTTGAAAAATATTTCGATTCCACTCACCATTTATTGAGTGGATAACGAATGGATTCGGGTGGAATTATTTTTCTCCGCAACTTTATTGGGTGGATAAAAGATGGAATAAATGAGTTTTACTTCAGTGTTAATTTGATTACTTTGGATCTAGATGAAACTTGTTGAAAAAAAGTTGGAGACACCCGAGGTACCAAATTGTTTTAGATTCCTTATAAAATTACCTTTCGAATGGTATATAAATTATGGAGTTTCCGGCAGGTTTGATGGCGTTTTACGCTGGCCGTTTGGCCGAAATATGAAAAATTGTGAGAAAAATCGGCTTCCGAATCTTATTGCAAGCAACCTAGTTCTATGGTTTTGATGAAACTTTGCCAGACGATAGCTCTTGAAGCTCTCTTTCCAACGGTATATAGCTTATTAGCCAATCGAACTTGTGGATGTGTTTCCCAGGTGGCCGTAGATTGACGCTAGTGATATATCAATGATACCATTGATAGTTCGATATGAATAGCGTGCTATTGGTACATTTTAATATTGTGACAAAAACAATTTTTCTCTTCAATATTTTTCCTTCAAAAATAGACATCTAAAGTATCAATATAGAGCGCCATATTTAATTTTATGTAATTAGTGAAAATATTTTGCAAATTCAACTTTCAAGGGAAATTTTATTGCGGTAAAAATTACATTTTACCATGTGAAACAATTCCCTCATGTTGGAATGGCATTCATTGCAAGCAACCTAGTTCTATGATTTTGATTAAATTTCGCCAGATGATAGCTCCCAAAGTCCTCTTGCTAACGCTATATAGCTTATTAGCCAATCAAACTTGTGAAGAGTTTTAGAATTTCAATTTAACTATGGCATTGACAAAAACCTTAGAGAAAAACGAAATCCATGTGATGCATTTATTAGGTAGTTCTGGACGTTCTCATTTCAGTAATTGAATTGAACGATTTCATCATTTATGGATCATCAGCGCAGCTTCTGAGAAAGCCATCTATCTAATTTATAGGATTTACTAACTTTTTGAAGTGAGAGCCCATAGGTAGTCGTTGAGGCAATATGAGCCAAATATTTGTAAAATCAATTTTCAAGGTGTAATTTATTTTAAAAAAAATTGTGGCAAAAAATTCAAAATATGAATGTCGAGTAGTTTGTTTTTCTTAGTAGTACGGTTCCACGTTTCACATTAAGCTCTACGGCCAAAAACTGGCAGTGTATCATTTTATAGCATCGGGTAAGAAATTCAAAACGCTTGTTCGAAAAAAAAAAAAAACATCTGTCAAAGAGAAGTGAATTAGAGTTCAGAAATTTTTCTGCATTTCAAAGAACAAACGACCAATTGAAAATTGTGTGAATAAAGTTAAAAAAAAGAATAAAGGATGTCAGTGAACGAGATGACTGGATGGGAATTTCTGTATAATAGGATCGAAGAAAATTTAAGAACCAAAACAGACATATTAGTGGCAGTAACTCATTTTTATTTGAGAATGCGGGCTGACTTTCAGTGTGTGGGAATAGGCGAGGTATGAATGTGTTATTATTCTAACTGGCAAATCATTTGTAATCGAATTATGATAAATATATCCATGAAATATGCAAAAAAAATTTTTTTTTTTTAGCCATTACCTGGCGATAAAGAGAAGAAAGGTAGCGGTTTCTTACCACCGAATTGGAATGCAAACGGCACATTGTATTCCTTAAAATATGTACTTCATGGTAGACTTTACATTTTATTGGGAGCAGTGGAAGGTGACGTACTTTCCCTAACCCTAAATGTAAGATATTTCAAAATTTGTTTCGGTCATATCTCATATGATTGCGTACAGGGGGAGGAAAATTTTTTAAGCCTAGAATATAAAGAGAAGTGTTTTCAAATCATTCTTGTACTATAATTGAAGTATGAACTGTCAACAGTATTCCCACAAAAAATTTGGTTGATATCTCTTATAGAGAGTTTTCTACGTTAGTCAATTGGTCAAATATACAATGAATGTCAAAAAACATATTCCTACATGCGACATTTGTCAAATTCCAATTTGGAGCCATTTCAGTGATTTTGACATTTCATTGTATAGCATCGGGTAAAAAATTCAAAACGCTTGTTCGAAAAAAAACATCTGTCAAAGAGAAGTGAATTAGAGTTCAGAAATTTTTCTGCATTTCAAAGAACAAACGACCAATTGAAAATTGTGTGAATAAAGTTAAAAAAAAAGAATAAAGGATGTCAGTGAACGAGATGACTGGATGGGTATTTCTGTATGATAGCATCGAAGAAAATTTAAGAACCAAAACAGACATATTAGTGGCAGTAACTCATTTTTATTTGACAATGCGGGCTGAATTTCAGTGTGTGGGAATAGGCGAGGTATGAATATGTTATCATTCTAACTGGCAAATCATTTGTAATCGAATTATGATAAATATATCCATGAAATATGCAAAAAAAAATGTTTTTGTTTTTAGCCATTACCTGGCGATAAAGAGAAGAGAGGTTGCTGTTACTTACCACCGAATTGGAATGCAAACGGCACATTGTATTCCTTAAAATATGTACTTCATGGTAGAATTTACATTTTATTGGGAGCAGTGGAAGGTGACGTACTTTCCCTAACCCTAAATGTAAGATATTTCAAATTTTGTTTCGGTCATATCTCATATGATTGCGTACAGGGGGAGGAAATTTTTTAAGCCTAGAATATAAAGAGAAGTGTTTTCAAATCATTCTTGTACTATAATTGAAGTATGAACTGTCAAAAGTATTCCCACAAAAAATTTGGTTGATATCTCTTATAGAGAGTTTTCTACGTTAGTCAATTGGTCATCACCTCAAAATCTTTGGAAATTTTTATAAAATCGAGTAGCTCATTTTCCTGTTGAGACATTTTTCATATTTGAAAAGTGGAAATACTAGCTAGAGGCCGGCCCCAACAAATTCAATAGATGGTGAATTTGAATCAATTTGATTCAGGTGGTGACAGTGCTAGTCCAAATATTCACTTGCGAGCTGTCATGCGGAGACAAATTTCCTCGCCAGAAGAAAACAATATTTCACTTCTACTACATAACGCAATCCATACATCTATTGAGCGTGGTACAGACCCAAGACCATAGTATTTTTTGGTGACAAGCCAATCATTAATATACCATTTGTATCCCAGAAACGGAAGTCATATGTTGGAAATCATCTGTTTGGAGGCGACTTTCTACTGATGCCTTGCCACCACTGTATAATAATACATTCTCTTCGCTTTGGTCTTTGATTTGTAGTACTAGAACCAGGCTTCATTACCAACTACTATTGATTTATTCGATACATTCCAGAAGCTTGAGTAATCAATCATAAAGAGAAATGTGATCATCTGTCAAAAAAATATCAAAGGCTTTTCGAATGATCGCGAACAAACGTTCTCTAAGTAACATTTGATATATTGAAGACACTGTCCGCTGTGATTCTGAGGATCGCAGCTAACGTACTATTGTGCATTTGGAATATTTCATGAACTACACTTGGATTTTGACCATCACATCTTGAACTGTTTTCACTATTGTCACAAAAGTGTGAGAGTCAACATTCATCAAGTCTCTGCACAACTATGAAGATTTTTCTTATTCTTTGGCTATGGTATACGATGGAGGAGGGTGACCATAAATTACACGCAAGAAGTGATTGAAATTGTTTGATGCTATACAATCTTTTGTGAGATACCTAATCTCAACATGATTTTGGATTTTTTCAGTTTTTAAAAAAATATCAAAATGACCAAATGTCAAATGTTGAACTTAACAAATGAAGAGAGATATGAACTCATTTTTTGTGGAAATACTGTTGAAAGTTTATACCTCAATTACAGCACAAGAATGATTTGAAAACACTTATCTTTATATGCTAGGCTTAAAAATTTTTCTTCCCCCTGTAGACGTGGTAAACTTCTGATTTCTATTTTCTATATTTTTTTTATTTGAAGGAAAATGAATCTGATTTTAAAAAAACCATTAGTTTTAACGCCACAAATACCGTTGAAAGAATGCAGGGCGATTTAGAAGAACTCATTCCAAGAATTGATGACGTTGTTCGTGAATTGAGAAAATTGGCTAAATCGTTCATATCGCCTCCGCCTTACCGTTCGTATACGAGTGGTGAAGAAGCAATAAACTCTGCAAATAATAGGTATAAAAAAAAATATAAAAAAAAATCGACTTCGTTATATATATATTGTTTAACAAAACAATTGACAAGACCTTGATGTAAGCTTTAACCCTCTAGTACCTTTGGGCTGGGTGTATAAATGATTGTCCAAAGCATATAAATAAAAACAAATGATTCTATTTATGAATTAAAATATATTCAGCAGGGTTCAGACTTTCATTTGCTGGTCATTTGACAAGTGAAAATAAAGCGGTTGTTAATTATAAACACAGATGTACACGAAAACAGAAATTTGACAAAAAAATTATCTCTCTATTCGTTTATAGCAATTTTATAGCAGTTAAAACAATGGATTCGATTGTTCTCCAATTTTGTCAACAGCATTTTTTGAGTAAACTAAGCAAATTTTTGAATTTCGATTATTTTTTTAAGGAATTAATGCATTAGAGGGTTAATTTAGCTAACATTTTTTGGATAATTTAGAATTGCGTATGTCCTTTACAATTATTAAAACTATACTTTCATTTATTAATTTTCATACATTTTCTTGTACACATAATACTTTAACAGCGATAGTTCAGAATAGCATGTATTAGTGCATATATTTAATGAACACTTTCAATGGAGTGAACGAGTGACGAAACCAAAATTTGAAACAAACAATTTCTTATATCAATTTTATGACGAAAATAATTGGTAGATAATTTTTTCAATTCCGTGTAAATATTGGTTGAGTGATATCTCTATGTGAACTCTATTTATATATTTGCTCATAATTTATTCACTCCATTCCAATTGATTTTAATAGTTAAGCTAAAACCCTTTCAGGAATAAGCGATTCATTTAATTCTAAATATGTATATTTTAATTGCAATCAAAATCATTATTGTAACGTCACAATGGAATGAAAAAAAGAGAAAAAAACAATAAAATTCAATGAAATTAGATAAATATGAAAAAAATTGAGATCATTCATAATTATCAATATGCAATAAACTCCACTTACCGAGTACAATTCATACCAAGAGGTAACTCGTACTTCGGCAAGGCCACAATTTAATCAAGCCTAGCGGACTAACAAATAATTGTTATAAACAAATTTCTGAATTATAATTTGATTGAATGATGTTGTATAACAATTGCTTTACAATTTGTATCAATTTCAATTGATTGCATACCTTTGTGGAGGATCAGCTTCGCTGCTGCGATATCACGATGCCATACAGTTGTGAGCGTTGGTTGTGCTCCGGCAGCTCCCTCGATTTTAACGTTTGCAACATTTGGTAGCCATGTTTTGAAGAAGCGTTGCTTCTTTGACACCAAACGACCTGCATTCGGTCCATCTCGAAGAGTTGTAGCAATGACATCGCCCATATCTCGCAACTCACGCCACATTCGTTCAATTGTTCGTCGCATTTGTAGTAATCGTTTGCTCACATTGGTTACAATGAGTGTTGGTAAGCCAACAACAGGATTTGGTACACAACCCACACATGTTACTGTAACCTAACACCCAATTGTGTTAATATGCAAACGCTGCAGTGGAAAAAGAGATTAGAAGAAAACACTTGTGTTCTGTTCAAACGTTGTCATAAGACCTAGATAAGACTGATTTTAATCATAATAGAAAAGTAAAGAATACGTTTACAAATTATTTCAACAGTTTTCACTCAATTTCAGCGTCTGAAGATATCTAGAAAATATCTCAATATAATCTCTGATTCCCACTTTTAATTGAAATAAAAAGTCATAAATATTGTTTCGTTGGTTATTATTTTACATTATTATTTTTTTATTATTCGGCAGAGATAATGTGTTAATTTTCATCGTAATCTTACTTAAAAATAATTTCAATATACTGAATGAAATTTAACTGTAATAAATATTCATTTCGTCTCATCATTGTTTAAAGTATAACGTATTTCAAGAGGACAAGCGATAAACGAAAAACATTTCAGTGAATTGATTTTTTTTCTTCTTTTGTTTGTTTGGTAATGTGCGCAACCGCAATTGAATTCTATTGGTCGAAGCAAATAAGTTTTCAAAAATAGCATGGATCGAGAGTAAATCCAGATAGGAGATGGTAAGTCTGATGACACGTCATATGCTTAAGAATGGTGTCTATGCATTTGTTCGCTGTTATTGTTTGGGAGATAGGTGGTAAATTTTCTTGTTTAAAACAAAAAAAAAATGATTTAATATTCGCTGGGTCGTTTTTCGCCATGTTTTCGAGTATATTCTTCTGCATTCTTTAGAAAACGTTTGTGGTCCTTCAAGAATTCTTCGGCCAAGTCACCACGCAGTGGATGTTCCGGTTCTGGGTCATTAACCAATGCGATCAGTGCTTGAATAACTGTCAAATATAAGGCACAAATATATAAGCTCTATAGACACATAGTCTTTGATATAAAAGTAAACTTACCTTGATCTGTTTTGGTAGCAGGCTTCCAATTTTCCGTTGAGATTATGGGCAAGCACACTTGACCTTTTTCATCGATATTTGGATGATAGATTTTGGTTTTGAAACAAATTTTTGGCGGTTTGAATGGGTATTCAGGAGGAAAGTTGATTTCGATACGAAATGCACCCTTTGCATATGGGGGGTTTTCCTTTAAACAAAGTCCAAATTGAATTTAACAATTATTATAAAATATATTTATTCATATTGCAAAGATCTTTGAATTTCATCATAATGTGAAAATATCTCACACAATGACACACTCATTGTGAACAGAACCAATAATTTTTTTTTTGACATTTGAATGTCGCAAAAAAAACTTACTTTTCAATTCGCAAATTAAAACAATTCAATGATTTTCACCTACCGGAATTATGAGACCAGTCCATGACAGAATGTTTGATTCATCCACTTGAATGTCCCGGAATGACTTTAAGTTTGATGATTTCAAATCACCCAACTCCTGTTGACATTTATACACGTAATATTAATATGATGCATTTATATATGGATGATTGCCAAATAAATGGACGCAAATAAATAAATAGCCTGTTGTGCAGTGCATACAAAATTCACAACATATATAAATAAATGGGAAATGTTGTTAATTTTATTTTGGTTTTGAGATGAAATTAAAACCATACAGTAAAATGACACGAAACAAATTGTTGCACATGAATTGGATTTTTTTGATTGTGTTCAATATATCGTATGATTCTTACCTTTTGTAGACGTTTACTCGCTGCCATTGTAATAAATCTGATGTTTTAAACAAAAAAATATTGCGTATTTAATGCGTTTGTTAATAATTTGGATAACTTTGAAAAGGAAAACAAATTTGTTGAATCGTTTGATTTGATTTTCGCATTTAGTATGTTGCTACTAAAAGTGTGCCGCCATATTAACCAATGAAAATTAGAAATATGTGTAAGTGAAACAGAATCATCTGATTCATAATGCTTCTTGTGAGAGTTTTCGAGAAACAGCAAAACATGTATATATTGTTGTTTGAGTGTTAGTGGTTTTGTGAATTTTCTTTCAGTGTATTTATTCACTGTTGAATATCATCCTCATTGACATTTATGTGTGTGTGTGTGTGATTGGTTTGACATTCGCATTTCGGCGAAATCTGAAATTTATGACAGATTGTATGGGATTTTTCTGAATGTTCAAATATTTCTTTTATGCAAGCGTTATTATCAGAATTATTAATCTCGCTCTCACTTAAGATTTAATAAATATATTAAAACTATTTGGAAAAAAAAATGAGAACAGTACAAATATATTTTATTTCTTTATTTTTTTCTTGGCCATTGCTTTCTTCAAAAAGTTGTAGTTTTTGACAAAACTTTTGTTTGAAGTCTTTGAAATCGCTTTGGATTTCGATGTCAATCCGCTAGTTTTATTACTATTATGATTTTTCTTCAGTTCAAAAATTGAATTCAATCCCGGCAGGTCATCTTTCAACGATGGCACTGAAAATATATTTTTCGGAATCTTTTCAGTATGTGGTTTGACGGCTGCTGGTGTCAATAGGGAACGGACCTCAGATTGCGATGCTAGTAATGTGTCTGGATTTGCATTACGTTTTTGTTTTTTGTTCTTTTGACTTTGCATCCTTGCCTTTTGAGTTACATCCAATTTTTCCATCAGCTTTTGATGTTTCAATGCCATTTTTTCTTTTTTCGTCAAATGCTTTTCGGGTACTGTTTTTGTCTTTTCAATTTGTAATAATTGCTTCGCAGCTACCTCTGTATCGTTTTGTTCAACGGTTCCCGCTTCTTCTTCTTTTGAATTTACCAACTCAGTTGTCGGTTCTGGTTTTTCTTCAAACTTATTAATGCTATCCAACTTGATGGTTATGCCAGCAAAAATATTTTCGACTGCATCCAATTTAAGCGGCAAATGTTTCGATTTCGACGTTTCTTTCTTTTCTGCTTTTGCAGTGCCTTTGTTATCGGCACTGATGTGGAACTTTTGCCGCTCGCGCTTAATTTTACCCATGTTCACGATACCTTGTTTGCCTCACCTATCGAAATAGAAATAAAACAGTTGAATTAATTCATTGCAAATATTTTATTCTAAAACATTAACAAATTGAGTGAGTGCTATTTTTGTTTATTAAGATTTATATTCCGAAATGCAAATAGATGCATTCGTTCCGCCAAAACCGAATGAATTTTTAATTGCTATTCGTTTTGTATTTTCATCGCATTTCCAATTTATTGGCTGACTACGAACAAAATTAATGAATTTGATGTTTTCTGGGACATTTTCCAAGTTTAGAGTTGGTGGAATTTTCGCTTGATTGCACGCAAGTATAGTGAAAATGGCTTCAAGATTTCCAGCAGCACCAAGCAAATGACCATGATGTCCTTTGGTTGATGAAACATGAAGCTTTTCGGTTTGTTCACCAAATAGTTGCCGAATAGCATTTGCTTCAATGGTATCACCAATTGGTGTGCTAGTTGCATGTGCATTCAAAAAACTAACATCGTTTGCAGAAATGTGTGCATCGTTCAATGCATTCTTCATTGCTAAAAATGCACCTTTTCCTTCTGGACTCGGTGACGTAATATGTGATGCATCGCCAGACAGACCATATCCAAGGATTTCAGCCAGTATCGTAGCATTTCTACCCTTGGCATGCTCCAATTCTTCCAATACTAAAATTCCGGCTCCTTCGCCCATTACAAAGCCACTCCGATCACGGTCAAATGGTCTAGATGCGTTCAATGGGCGATCATTGTAGTTTGTAGCCAAGGCTCTTAAACGGCAGAAACCAGCTATCGATAATGGTGTTACACACGCTTCAGCTCCTCCACAGACCATAACATCTGCATCTGAATTACGAATAAATCGCAATGAATCACCAATTGCATGAGCGCCTGTCGCACATGCAGTCGAAACACAATGATTTGGTCCACGAAAACCATATTTTATGCTAATTTGTCCAGCAGCCATGTTCGTCAGAATTTTCGGAACAAAATGTGGACTAACACGATTGTATCCATTGGTCTGTAATGCTTCATATGTTTCGCAAATACTGGCCAAATCGACCATTCCCATTCCCACTGCAACGCCAGTTCGATCTTTCGATTCATCATTATTTGGCTGCCATTTGGCCATCTGTAATGCTTCCTTTGCTACAATTAGAACACACGAGATAAAATTCGATTAGTATTCAATTTCTATGTAGCATTTAGTCTAGCCTTTGGCCTACCTGCCAGCAATGCATATGATGTCGCTGGGGCTATGGACCGTAGTTCACTCTTAGAGAAGTGGTCATGAAGTTTTATTTCATTTTCGTCTATAGTTGCGGCTATTTTACATGGTAGTGCATCATATTTTGGATCTTTCAGTGTTTTTACTCCACAATATCCATTCAATAGGTTTTGCCAGGCTACTTGGACGCTACAACCAATCGGTGAAATCAATCCAACACCAGTAACAACAACGCGACGTCGATTTGAATTAGATTGAGAATATTTTCGCCATACACTGATACGATGCACTTGTAAGTGCTCTAATAAATTGATTGATGTGTTTTTGGCGAAATGATATAAACACCGATCGTAAAACATTCTATTTTCTAGATTTCTATTTTATTTTATGCACTCACTCTGACTTCAAAATAAAAATAGTGATAAAAAAAACAATAATTTACCTTTTGAACCTTTCTAGCTTAATAGCTGTCAGAATATTTCATCGAATGCAAAACAATGTGTTCAATCTGTATTGATAGTGGAATATTTAACCTCAAATATTTTCGCCCGACAAATGGGTAAACGTCAAATTTTTCGCCATAAAATTCGTAGCTTTTTCGTTTGACATTTCTTAATTCATTATGGCGTACAGTGATATGGAATAGCCAACGACTGAACAAAGAGTTTATGATTTCCCACATTTTCTACGTTTATTTTCTTTTAAACTGGTCGTTCAAATTTTATCTTTAATTGTTTTTATACAATGATAATATGATGGTGTGTAAATTGCGTGTGCAAAGAAGCAAAGTGACTTTTATGAAGTAAAAAATTTGATGGCCAACTAATTTTGATAAAAAAAAGAAACAACTGATATGAACATCTACCTAGAAATTGTGTAAAAATTGATGATCCGCAAAGAAAGAAAATAAACACCATGAGCACGAAAACGTTCGACGATCTTTTAATCTTCGGTTATGCATGTAAAATATTTCGTGACGATGAAAAAGCGCTACACATTGATCAAGGGAGACATTTAATACCATGGATGGGCGATAACACCCTCAAAATCGACAGGTTAATAATTTTTAATCCAATTTGATAAATAATATCTCTTAATTTAACTGTTCATGGCAAAAATTGACTTTAAATTTAATCGCAAATGCGATGCATATGATTTGCGATGCAGCGAATACCGAAAGACATTACCTTAAATCACATTTTCATCGATATATAATTGCACATCAAATGCAACAACGAATCGTCACAAACGTAAACAAACGAGAACAATGTCCTATCTCTTATGAAAGACCACAAGGGAAAATAAGGGAAAATGTGATGATCTATGACGTTGGTAAACCGAACAATAATGCGGTTGCGACTGGACAATGGATGTTTAAATTGATTTCAATGGTGTTGTTGTGATTTAGTGAATCATTTAAATTAGATCTTCTTTCTAGCGCGCATTAAATAGCATCCACAGTATCTCATTCCCAAATCAACAGTGATATCAACAAGCTGGATTGGTATGTATAGAAAGACCAGAATCACAAATAAAATTACTGATACAGTGAAAAAATGGCATATCTCTCAATCTTTGCGAGAAAGAGAGATAGAGAGAAAACCAAAGAATGAGAGAAAAAAAATGAAATGAATGAGAAATGGTTTTAAAATCAAGCCAAGCATTTTAAACCAAATAAGAATAGTTGAACGAGGAGAGGTAACATTTACAAACAAAACAAAAAAAAAAATCATATTTTTTTTCAATTCCTTTATTTGTTGTAATTATTATTTATATCTTTCTTTTGAAATTACCCCATTATAACCCATTGGCAGTCTCAGATCAAATCTGGGACACATTTCAGATTACACAAAACGTATAGACAACGCAGGCACTAATCTTGTTTTTGTTCTTTTTTCATTTTTTTCCCATTTCGTTTGTGGGCTCAAAAAATCGTTCCAATGCTGCGCCGTCTATAAATCTGCACGAGAACAGATACGATGTTCGGGCAACACTGAGTGATATCAATCAATATGAAGCACCGCCGGGTGGATATGACAGAATGGCGTATCTTAGTCCGATGGAACAAAGGGCAGAACAACTCTGTGAGGAAGAAAGATATTTCAGCTTATACAATAACGATTTTGAGGAAGAATTATATAAAGGTAAAAAATAGATAACGCAACACACAGCGCAGAAATCATAATGAAATTGCTTTAAATTCAACAGAGGAGAATCAAAAGAGACAACAAACCGGAACCGGATATGGTCAAGTTGGTTTCAGTTACGATCAATCATCGTCATCGCAGCAGAATTCGATCGAGGATGCATCAAAAGCAGACAGCGAAAATAAAGAGCCCGATGAAGTTTACGTACCGCATCCACGGTTTTATCTTCCACCCGATATGGAAATCGTATGTCAATTTCCTTTCGCCCATTTAACTTTTATAAAACATTTTCGAAACAAATTTGTTTGTCTTCATTTCAGCCGACAACCACAAAAGTGCAAGCAATAATTGAAAAAACCGCCCGATTTATAAGTGAACAGGGACCTCAAATGGAGATTCTTATAAAAGCAAAGCAAGCAAACAATCCTCTGTTCGATTTTCTAAATCAAAATGGCCGATTGAATGCATTTTATAAACATTCTCTGCAAGCGATGAAAGATGGAAATTATCCCACAGACACTGATCAAACTGAAAATGCCTATCCATCAACTCCGCCCGAAACAACCGGATCGATGTATCAAAACTATTATTCGGCCAATCAATCAATGGTAAATTCAATTAAATTCATTCAATATAAAATCATAAATGAATCATTTGTCTTTCATTCTTTTTAAACTCAAGATTCAAGTGCCTTCTATCAAGTACAAGCCATCGGCCGATTGTGCTTACACCCAATTAATTAGTAAAATTAAAGGAGTACCAATAAGTGAAGCTACTTCTGCACCCGAAGAGAAAACAACAACTGTACAGCAAAATAGCCAACAAACGGAAAACAAACCTGTGGCACCAACAGTTGAAGTTAAAAAAATTTCCAGCGGACTTATGTTGGCTCAATATTACAATTCGGATAGCGAAAATGAAGAAGACAATAACGATGAGAATAATCAAGTTGAAAGCAACGGCAAAACTGTATTAAATAATAATTCATCATCAAAAATATTTGAGAGTAATGAAAATGCATTGCCACCGGGAATAATGGTACCACCACCAGAGCTTCGATTAATCATCGAAAAAACTGCATTATATGTCCTCAAAAATGGGAAAGATTTTGAAGATATTCTCCGGGCAAAAAATGAACAGCGCTTCTCTTTTCTTCAATATAAGGATCCGTATCATAAATTCTATACTTTCAAGGTAACGGGTGCTATTTCTCCTGGCCCAGCCGATGTCATACGATTGGGCAATGAAAAGAGACAAGAACCGAAACCTCTTGGTGAGTAGCAATAATTCAAGTTTAATTCAAGCTCACACATGTCAAAGCATTCTTAATTTTTGTTTTCTTCATTTCAGCACCGGTCTCATTTTCAATAAAATCGAAGGAATATTCGACACCAGCAACGCTTAAGCCAGCCCTAACCTTGGAGCATAGTAGCGACGAAGAACCGCAACAGTCACCAAGTAATGCCCAGAGTTCGCTAAGCAATGAGGTTGTACAGACTAACTTACCTCCACAAGTGCCAAAATCACAGAATGGCGATGATCAGACTTCAAATGAAGTTGAACTCACTGATTCATTTATTCGGGATGTAATATTGGAACAACAAAATCAGGATGAAAGAAAACAAGCCAAACGAGGTAAGAACAAGCTTCAATGAGAAATAATATATTCACATTATCTATATGGATAATTTATTTTACAGCGGAAGAGAAGGTGAAAGATCGTTTAGCACAATTAGCTAGAGAAAAATTGGGCATTTTGTCGAAGGAAAAGCAGTTGCAATTAGAACGAAAGAGGCGCGCAATGGCTTTTCTCAATCAAATAAATGGTAAATAATTTATACATATTTCATATTCCTTTCTTTGTAACTTTATTGAATATTTCGATTTGCGCAGGCGATGAAAATCCTGGCTCGGGCAAAATCGAAAAGAAACCCGATTCGGCTACAGAAACTAAAGTATCTTCGACTAATTCAAAAACTGTTGATTACGCATCAGATAGCAGTGACTCTGTAACTTTTGTAATGGAATCATCACCAGCACCAAGTGTTTCTCAAACAACGCAAAAGGCTCGTAACAGAACCACCAACTCAAGTGAAAGCGATGATGTGATTGAAATTAATCCAAAATCAAGATCTCGTTCACGAGATCGATCGAGGTAAAAGAAACCATAATCCAATTCATTATTCTTATGTTTATGATGCATGCAGTCAGTGCAATTTTAAACAACCAGCCAATTTTATCTAAATAGGTCAAAGTCAAAACATTCTCGCCACAAAAGTAAACGAGATAAAAAGTCAAAGCGTTCGCGTTCTTCATCTCGAAGCAGGTCTCGGTCTCGAAAATCAAGCCGATATAGTAGGAGCAACAGTCGTGATTACAAACGGAAGAAAAAGAGATCGACATCAAAAGGAAGGAAACATCGTTATTACAAAGATTAAATTTTAACATATTTTTATCATTGTTCGCATATATGAATGAGACATTTAATTAAAAAAATTGTATAAATGAATATAAATATGTGGTTTATCTACTAATAAGTAATCTATATATCCTTTCCATTTGGCTTGTACCAATACGAGCAGAATAATATTTATGGAGCAACAAAAAGGCAAAGTACAACATTGCACTTCATGACTATTCGATGATATTTGCACGAGGGAACCAAATATAGTGACTTTTAATCTTGCTTTTAATATGTTAATTCTTTTTTTGTCTTTATTTTCCATTCATATTTCGTGGTGTATTAACGTATTTCATACTAACTTGATAAAAGATTGTAGCATAGATCCTGTAGTTGACACGAAAGGGGGGAGCGATTTAAAGAATTGCGTGTTAATTTGCTTGTGAACAAATCCACAGAAAAAAGGGTTTTGCATTCTACTCGAATCAAAATTGGTTATGGGGGAGGGAAATCTTGGCCGAAAAACGCCCATGGTCAAAATTGAAAAAACTATCGCATTTCATAGAATATTAAATAAAAAGAGGTTTTCACAAGTTGGCATATGTTTTAGAGGGGTTTGACCAAAATCACAGAGGGAGTAATTGCTCAGGAGGGGTTGTTTTGTACATTGCCCCCCCTGCTGATCAGAATCTTTGAGCTGCGGGGTAGATTATTTTCTTATCAAAATCGCAACTTACGTATTTTGAATTTTAAAAAAATATTTATTGTAAAAATTTTCCTATGCAAATATTTTTTCCATTGTGATTATAATTATCAATCGTTTCCATAAAGCATGAACTCACGTGTCCATTGATAACACTTTTAACTTGTAAACATTTTTAAACCCACGGTCCTTCGGAAATTCATTCAGTTTCAGAGGTTGATCGACACAGATCACTACTGTTAAATTTCGTTTGTACAAATAAACTTTCGATTGAAAATGAAGTTCACTGAAAAGGTATTAGCAAATTGTGTGGCTTTTCGTTTTTCTTCAAGTTTTTTATTCGGATATTTTGAGTTTGAAAAAAAAAGAGAAAAAAAAAGAAACTAAAACTCTTAAAACAAATTAACAGCAATCCGTCAGCATCCTGGATCCTTCTGAAATTTTTCGTCCAGATATAGCCTCTTATGCGGATAAAGATGTTAAAGATTTTCGCATCTATACCGTCGACGAAAATGATCCAATAAAGGATCGCGTTTTTCAAACATACAAGGCAATGCACACAAATCAGACAGTTGATTTTGTCCAAGGTACACAAATTATTTATAGTCATTTGTCCAACAAAGTTCTCTGACCAATAGCATAAAATTTAAAATGTAGTTCAAAGAAAAGGTTCAATTATTTCTCGATGTGTGTTTTTGATTTCAATATAGTGAAATACCTGCCTGCACTTTGTGCCGTTTGCTCATAAGAGAGGTAGAAACCCATGTGAAAAATTTCTGACTGAAAAAATACAACTTAAATTAGCTTCAATCACAGTTGGCTAAAGCCAAAAACGTCCCAAATTAATCGTCTGTTTAAATTCATGTCTGTTTAAGTCATCTTGTTGAACGATTTTAGTCAGAAAATTCAGTTTCAGTTGATTTTAGCTAACCAGTCAATCAGTCACTATTTTTCCACGCGGGAACGAAAACATTTTCGGTTAGGTCACAAATATAACTGAACACTTTTATCTTCAATTACAATAAACTGCTAAAATAAATGTATACAATTCATAAATAAGAAAATCAGATACATCATAAAGTTTGTTCGTTTAAAAATTCCATTTCAATTAATAAGCCAAAAATATCTATTGGAATTTGCTTTATAATTTTTTTAAAGTCTATTTCAACAATACATGATAGTCAAAATTTTATTCATATTACGTATAATCAATATTTTGGCTGTTGTCAGTTATGTGTTAAGTTCGTGCATCATGGGGTTATCATCATTGACGTAAACTAATTTCAATTTTTTTCTTAATTTTGGGTTTAAAAGGTCGTCATAAAGTGTGGTGTCAATTCAACCATTTCACAGCAACGTAAGTAATTATTGACTTTTTTTGAATATTCACGATAAATATAAGCGATTATTATTTCTCATTCAACAGAATCCGCGAAGCTTTAGAAAAACTCAATGAATTAGTTGATGAATCTGATCCCGATATATCTCTACCAAATATATTTCATGCTTTTCAAACTGCTGAACGAGCACGTGCTGAATATCCCCAATACGACTGGCTTCATCTCACCGGCCTTATTCATGATTTGGGCAAAGTGATGGCTTTTTATGATGAACCACAATGGGCTGTTGTAGGCGACACGTTCCCAGTTGGATGTGAATGGGCTAAAAGTATTGTATTTCGCAATGAAACTTTTGAAGAAAATCCGGACGGAAAAAATCCGCAATATAGTACAAAACTTGGGATTTACGCTGAAAAATGTGGAATTGAACAGCTGATGATGTCATGGGGCCATGATGTGAGTGTTTGATTTTTTTTTAGAATTCACCTGTTAATCTATCTTTTTTTCATAAGGAATACCTTTATCGGTGTCTAACACATAACAAAAGTACATTACCGAAAGAAGCATTACAAATTATTCGTTACCATTCATTTTATCCATGGCACACCGGTTAGTAAAGATCAATTGGTAACAAAAATGACAAAGAAATAACAACTCTTATTTTCCATTTAACAGACGGTGATTATAAACATTTCGAAATAGAATCTGACGAAAATATTAAGAACTGGGTTAACACTTTCAAGTACGTATAAATGTTGTTGATACAAGTATACTTGACAAAATCGAAAAAATCTTGTTTCTTTTTTTGGATTGTCCTCTTTATATTATTGTCATTTAACGAGGAAAACAAATCGAAACTATATTTTTTTTCATGAAGAAAAACGCATCATCAGTATGCTTCGTTTGTGATTTAAAAAAAAAACGATAAGAGTACCGTTGCGATAAAATTGAGACACGCATTGATCTATTTTTTAATTTTTCGTTTATTTCAGTCGGTACGATCTTTATACAAAATCAGAAAAGGTGCCCAATATTGATGAGCTCTGGCCTTATTATCAATCTTTGATTGATAAATACTGCCCTGGCACATTGGAATTTTAAACATTTATTTTTGTTGTTTTACAATTAAGTTTCACTGTTTTTTTGCGAATTTATTATGTCCCCTTGAGAGAAATTATCAAAAGTAGATTATTCACCTGCAATATTATACAAGATATTATATAATCTTTAACCTTTATAATCATTATATTTTCAAATGGACTAGAAATAAATATATCACTATCAAAGAAAGAAACAAAACAGTTTTTTTTAAACACAAAAACATCGAAAGTGATATCACATATCGTAGTAATTCGTCCTCAAAAAAAGTTTCGCTTAAATGTTGTAGTTCACGATTTCCTGTAAACAAACAAAACGCCGACACCGTAAACAAAAAAATATTATCAAAAAATCGGCTTTTTGAATAGCTGGGTTCGTGCCGCAGATAAAAATAGCGTAGGAACAAACCCGCGCTTTAGATTGAACGCATTTATTGAATGACTGACATCATATAAGTCCAATACATTTACACAATACAAACACTAATCCGCACCTGGTTACCGCTACCCAACAATATGTTTTCAGCTCGTGTGTCTAGAAAAGAATGGTGTTTCGTGTCGCATGGAAGTGTAAGTTTATCGTCGTCGCTAGTATTTTAATCAAGAATTGTAGAATCAACTCTTTTTTTTTCATTTTTGTTATTGATCATAAACAAATAGATCTATCTTCAAGTGATCGTTTTTAAATTTATGTAAATACAAAATAAATAAAAGTTAAAAAAAAAATATTTTAAAATACAAAAAATTGTGTTAGTTGTCGTGTAAAAGAAAACCAAGTTTTATCAAGTTTTCCCGTGCTTTAGTAAATTCTAACGACAGTTATATGGAAAACAGCAATTATACGTAATTGGAGTACAATATTAGAATGCGCAGAAGTGATATGATTTATGTGCATTTATGTCAAAAAATATTGAATATTGAAATAATCAGTCCACAAATAAAATTCTACTTGCCTTCATTTAGAAAGAACGTTGTTTTGTCGTTCTGCTTTATAATTTCAGTGATCATTTGACCAATGAAAAATTGTGTGTAATGAAAGCCATTGAAGTCATTAACCAAAGTAACAGCTAAACGAATTCATTTTCTCAGTAATATAAATTGCAGTTTGTGATGTATGCGCAATCACAAATATATTTTTTTTATTTTTAGTTTTAAATGGAAATTTAACAAAAAATGCTAAATTTCATTCAAAGTCGATTCAAAATTTGAAGATTTTATGGCAATGATAATATCTTACAATAGAATCGTTTGCGTTTCATCATTTGCTGCGTAGTTCCACACTTGTTCGACGAAAATTGTCGTAAAACAGTGTCTTAAAATCAAAGATAAAAATTTAGTAACCAATTTGAATATTCACAGAGTATACCTCTTACGTATGCCGAATGCATATTTCAGTGTGTTGGGTGCATCAGCATATAAAATGAAGGGGAAACAATAAATAACGACGTACGTTGAATATAATCATAGAACAAAATCTAATGACAGTACTCATTCAAATTCAACACAACGTCGAGACGAATATAAGTGATGCGCTTTTTTCATTGTCACCCGTTCTATTGTATCATTGTATTTATTGTTTGCCTGTACAAATAAAATGTTATTGGAATTATTCAATTTATGTGTAGACGTCGATGTTCACATGCGTTCTGTTTTGCTTTTTCGTTAATAGCAACACATCGTTTTTGACACACTTGACTCACTGTATTCATCACGAGTGCGGTGATACGATGATTAAATAAAAATTAAATTTTATTTTCAATCTGTTGAATTTATGTGACGCACACATATATTCATATTAAAAAGAGAGAAAAAACTTGCGCAAACCACTATGTTTTCGCATTGAAAAGAATATCTTTATTTCAGAATATTAAATGTAATCTATATAGTTAAATGTGTTTTATACCAAGAATTCGTGCGTGGAACTGAACAGTTTCGAACCTATTGTATTGATTTTGTTCATTTGTCAATTCGATATTTTTGAGAAACCAGAAAATGAAACAAGTCAAGTTTCTGGATTTTTTTTCTGTTGTTTATATTTTTCTTTGTGCAATATTATGGTATTTTTATGCAAATATCTTTTCAAAATCTGTCTTATTGTCTGATCGACTCGAAGTTTTACGATGCTTAACAGTATTGATTTTTGTTTTTATAATAAACATACTTCATTAACGTTTATCAAAACACTTTGACTTTACATACCGTTTGTATAGGAAAATGAAACTTGACATTTTTCCTGGACAATAAAACGCATGCATACAACTCATTCATACGAATTAAGATTATAAATTTTTCTTTTTTATAAAACTCGTTTCACAAGTTTGATCACATTTATGCATAAGTATATATATGTATATATTTTACCAGAAGAACATTCTCTCATTGAGGAGCGTGTATCCAATTTGAAAGAATGAACAACAGAGCAAGCCTCTATAGTATGCACCTGTATACTTATTCTTTCTCTCTTGCACGCATCGCTCTTTTAACGTTCATGTTTATTCTAATGACACACATTTCATATCATGCGCATACTTTTCTTAAAGTCATACTCGCTGTGTGCCCTGCTCACGAATTTGATTCGAAAATTTCTCTTCCCAAATAAACGGGTCGTTAAAACATTTGACTACCTGCTTATTTTACTTTAAGTATATCATACCATCATTAAATTGCCAATAAATAGTTTTACAAAGCACAAGCCTTGAAAAATTATACACGAACACTAGAACTAAACAATAGCAACTATTTGACGATTTATCTTTATTTTTTTTTTCAAGTTTTTTTTCTCTCTTTTTCACTCTCGAAACTCATTGTTTGGCATCAGTTTAAATCTCTCGGCGATTACAATGAATGAAAAAGTATCGAGAATGATCCAATGAGATTTCGATTTCAACTGTATTTAACGTGTCTCATAAATATGAAATTAGGAACGAGTAAAGTGAGCATCCATCACAATAAATAAAAACAATTAGTTGGCAAATATTGATGCTAATTTGAAGAATCGGATAATTCGTATATTAGAAAAATGGCTATGAAGGTATTTCAATGCAAACCATGCTTTTGAACAGAATTTGATAATGACACCTGACTTTATCAATATTTCCTAGAAATGTTCATTCGTTCACCTGTTCAAATGTTATTTAATTACACTGACGAATTATTAGTGGGTGCGTTACAAATGAATAATTTTCTTCAACAATATGTTGAAACATATGTATTGCAAAAGTTACGCTATCGTAAAATCGGATGTAATTTCGTTTGTGGCGTGTGCAAAGCCTTCTCCTCACAATTTGTTATGCAATGAAAAGTGTAAATGTTGAACCTTCAATCACGAATGTTTTCAGTAGCTAAGATTTTATTTCTGTGTTTTTGATTTCATCGGTAATTCACTTGGTGTGAGTCTATACCGTCCGTTTCACGGTCCAGTTCCACTCGATGTTGGAAAAACAGGTTGAAATACCGCAGACATAAGGAACCTTAGGTTATAAAACACTTCGCTTTGTTGATTTACATCAATCTGTAGAGTAATCAGACATTTTTTTTTTTGCAAAATCACAAACAATAAACCAAACAAGCATTGTTTGAAGCAATGTGATAAGTTTTCATGTTGTTCGTTACTGTTTCTTTTTGTTTATTTCAGTTAAGTTTTAACGATTTTGCGTGACTAAATATTTTATTTACTGTTGCATTGCTCATCTTCACAGATTATTATTTACGAAAAAAAACAACTAACAATGACAATGACAATATATTCTTGTTTTTATTTTCACGTTTTCAATGATTCTGCTATGATGCCTGCATTCTCTCTGTCTCTCTTATCAATTCTTTCTTATTTAGTCGAATATGAAATAAGTAGAACAATGAAGTGATTGTATTTATGTGTGAGTTCGCAGTGATTAGCGCAAAAACCACAGTTATTTGCAATTTTTAAATTAAAAATTAGAAACCACTATGTTAAATTTGCATTTGTATCAGACATTCTCAAGCACGGTGTTGAAGTTTTAAAAAATACGATCACATTTGCACACACCGTGCTTAAACAACACAAAAAAAAAAATAATTTCAAATGTTGTCGCAAACTACTGATAAACAATAATAATAATAATATCGTGGGTTTTACTATACCATAAAAATGTGTTTATGTGAAACTAATTCAATAAACATCAGTCAATTTAAAAAAAAAAAACTGAACAAAGGTCACATGGAAACAAAATTGGCATCAAGTTGTTTTGGATGATTTCGCTTTTTGTTGCGAAGATGTGCATTTACAGAATTTTATAGTATTCTTTCTGAAACAATAAAAATACATGATCACCTTTGTATCCTAATGCTTTCAATTCTTTACGACAATAATAAATATGGTGCCAAAAAATTCAACATTTTGCTTACACAATAAACACCATTCTATTGGCCACCGTTGTATATACAAATGTTTGTTTTAATTTTTTTGTTAATTGAATTATTTTGATTCATTAAACACATTTTCGGTGGTTGTGCAAATTTGTGAATTCCCCTCTCGCTCTCTTAATGGCATTTAATACACGGACTCGGACTGAAAAAAACTGGCATTGAAAACTATAAAATAAAAGTTGTGATAAAGTGACAACAACCAGGCAGCCTGGCAACCAATTTTTCTAAATTATGTGCATATACTTTCGAAAACCGCTTTAGTTTTGCTTCAATGATTCTATGATATTTAACAGTAGATCATGTTAGTTTTCGAAACCGGCAACCTGTTCAAAATAGATTTGCATAGAGATAACACGATTACCAAAATAAATATTTACTTTTATTACGCGATAAATAATCGGTTAAATTGTAGATTTTGATATCTGTTTATGTGTCACACTCTTCGCTAGATTCATATCTGTATATTAACTAATGATGATGGAAATGCATATGGAAAATAGTGTCTGAACGAATTGTACAATCATTGATGGTTGCGTAAAATGATTCTTCCATTTTCATTCGATTATTGTACGAAAATGAAGCTTCAAAACCAATCTCTCAATTTTATAAAATTCAAAACTCGTTTCACGCGATTAAAAATGGTTAACTCAACGTTTTCATCATCTGGAATGCGTTGCAGCATGAATAATATTTAAACACAGATATTACAATGAATTCAGTGGTTACTAAAAAAAGAACAAACATCGCGAGCAAACACAAAAAAGCGATAAGTTGTAATCGTCTTGGTTTTCCATTTTTTTACTTATCAAAATGAAGTATGAATTTTTGCTGTTTAAACTTCTTGTACAAAGTTAAGCCGCAACCAAACCTGCTGAAATTCAAAGTATAAGCACTCACTAAGCAACGGTAATTTGTATACATGCAAAATGAAAAAGTACGCGCATTTTCACTGTTATTAAAATCATTAAATTGCAATTACGTTTGGATGAAACAGACGGAAAGAATTCCTTCAATTGTTTATGGCAGCAATCAAAAGTATCGTCCAGTCTCTATTTGCAGTGTATACCGCACAAATGACCTTCTTTTTGCTATGAAATGAAAATGAGAGCAGCACATATTTTCAGTTTTAATTTCGCTCAATGCTGACATTCATGTGGTGTGTGTGTGTGTGTGTGGATTGTCACTTATTTCGATCAACAAACGAAATTCATACGGTGACCGTACAAAATCAGTCGCAACAGCTCTTTATTATCATCCAAAAAATTAAAATATGTTGAAGCAAAAAACCTGTTACAAATAATATGCATTCATATTATAAGTGAAATGCTTGTAAAAGTACTGGTTGGCTGTCGGTTGGTATGAACCGACCTAAAAAAAATTACTACACATACATTTCAACAACAAACAAAAATTTTTAAACACCGATTGATTGTACTCGAAAGATTTGAATCAAATACATTTTTATTGCTTTAGACTCATCAACAAGTCAAGAAAATAAGTAAATGAGTGTACTTGAATTGCGGTGATAAGCTACTGATTATTTGATGTTGATATTATTATATTTTACTTATATGATATCCAGACACAATTTTAACATGAGCATAAGGAGTATTCCACTAACATGAAAATCTACCAAGATGTCATGTTTTTTTTTAAACAAATCAATGCTGTAATATACAATACTGGGTTTCTAGACGTTGCCAATAAGATTATATAAATTTGAAAAAACATACATGTCTTTGAGAAAATAAAAGTCGCATTTAAGCCGCTTACTTTTCAAACAGCAATTAAATTACAATTTTTCTTAAATTTCAACTGACTTGTAGTTACCCAACTACTAAAATAGTTCATCAAGAAATACACGTCTAATGTTTAATGGTATAAATGCTCAATGTTTATCTAAGGCTATAATATGGTAATAGGAAATTATTACGTGTTTGACCGCGCTTGAATGTTGTTGTTTTTTTCCAGTCTCCTTAATATATGATGCAGCACACAGTAATGATAATTCGATACACGATTATCAATGAGGAACGAAATAGCGTAGAAAAATTGCGTGATAATGCATAGCCTATTAATTTGCTGCGCTTAGTGTGTCTGTCCGCAATGTACAATTCAGTAAAAAAAATTGGTTATATAAAAAATAAGAAAATAATTCATTAAATGTGCATACATTTTGGATCACATTTTTTTTCTTCACGAAATCTAATTCTGAAACTGAAAATATTTTTTTTAAATGATTAAGCCATTATTTTGATTTGTTTTCTGTATTGACGAAAGAATGGCGAATGATTCACAATTTTTATATTTCACAAAAACGAGCGGTATTCGTGAAAAAGTTGTCATCGCTTATTTCGTTTTCGTTTAACGATTTCCTATTGTTTTCCTTATTTGGTTGTGAGCTTGTATTGCTCAATTACTTCCTAACTGAAGAGGTTTTTTTTTCATCTGACGAGGCAATAACCTGACGAACTGGTCGAAAGAGATTTAAGAATAATTGCGATTTGATATTAGTTGATTTTGAAGTTCTATATAATTGCATTAAGTAAAAATGATTTCTTATTAAACAATTTTGGTTCAGATTTCAAATTTCAGCATTTAATGTCGAAATTACAGTTTCATCATATAAAAAACGAATTTTATTTCAAAACATTTTTTTTTTCATTGAAAACTATCACTTTTGCAATGCGCACACAAGATAATGGCGATATCAAACGGAGTTAACGGCGTGTAAATTACACTGATAAGTAAGAAAAAATATGATAAAATATACAAACACAAGTTTAATGGCAGTATTTCCGACATCGTAAAGTTTTTTTTTCAATTGCTACTTTAATAAGTTGGTTTTCAAAAGACGAGTTTTTTAAATTTTGTATCGATGTTTCGTTTTTGACAACAACACGTGTAGATTTAAGAAAAATGTTGATAAAATGTCCATATCAATAAAAAACGATATAAAAATTGCATTCAGACATCAAACGTTCAATGGAAACAAACATCCATGCTATATTCAAATTAAATTAAGCATAGCTATAATTTAAAAATGGGGACTTTGATCAGATATGAATGTCGATTAATTGAGCAAAATTGAATCAAATGAATAAAATTATTTTCGCTTCTCTGACGAAATAAGCAATTCTTCAATTTAGTTCAATACCCGCGATATAGCAACGTTCACTTCTGCATCATTTGGCGCATTTGAAAATATGCGCAGAATGAAGAAAGAGGCATTAGAATTCTACGCTTAAGCGTATTTTTAAAGTGTTGGTAAATCAGTTACTTGTTTTATTCCCTGCGGTTCAATTGAGAATCGTAATAAAGTGTACGGAAAATGAGAGTGTTTTTAAATGGGTTTATTTGCATATTCAACAGACCCATGCACATCGCATTTTGGATGTAACAAATCCAGCGTAATAGTCATATTTACTGTTTTTTTAATGAGCATTCTTATGTAACTCAACACTGACATGATCATGATCGAATGACTGAAATACACTATAACTCAAATAAATGTAAAGTAATTAATTCATTCAATAGTCGATAATTGAAACAAAATGTTAGAAACTACTTGAAAAAATCAGAAAACTATATGCTAATGTCTAATCTGACTTTCAGAATATAATTATCGCTATTCTTGAAAAAAAAAAGAGTATAAAATCACTAGAAGTAAGTGTGTTGTATGTTCATGATTTACTTGCAATAGCAACATACCTGAATTCAGTAGTAAAAGCACAATCATAGCAACAAATATGCATATCAACATATTCAAGTAGAGTTTATCCGGTCACTTCATGCATTACGTAATATAAAAGCTGCTTGCAGTGCAAAGCAATAATACAAGTTGATTGGTTAAATTTCAAGAAAGAGATAAACAAATATGCCCTTCAGAGATGAGTGCTCATTATGCTGATGCATATTATATATTCTACTCGCATAGTCTTATGTGTGAATTTACGTAAATAAACTCTACTAATGAGCACGAATAAAGATGCATTTTGTGAATAAATCACAATTTCACCCTTTTAAAAAAATAGATATATCGTGAATTGTATAGCTTCTTTTCATGAATAATATTGTTTTATGTTTCATGTGGCGCACTGTTTACTACAACAAGTAAAGAATACACCGATCAAAGTCAATATAGAGTACAGTGTGTGCAATAAGTTTGGCTTTTCAATATATATTTCTCGAATCTAGATATTCAAATAGATTAATGTCTGGTATTTTTATTTGCTGTAATTCATATATACATATATGTAGAAGAGGATGGTAAAACATTCAACATATTCAATAGACTAGAACGAAATTAATGATATGTCATTTTCAAAGAAAACAATATTTTATAGGCACCAATTTCAACTGTCTTTTGATAGATCGCAATATTTGTATTTTTGTAGTGCATGATACGAATTAAGGTTATTTTATTATATATTCGATCGCTTCATACACTTCAATTTGTATGTAAAACGATCCAAACTTTTGGCATGTATTGTATTGACACCTGGCATTTTTCCATGATTTTCTTTTTAAATTCTTGTGCGCGTGTAAACGATCACATACGTACATGCATCGAATTAAAATAATAATTCGTGATAATTTAGAAAAAAAATAAAGGTTTTTTAATGTTATTTTCATGTATAGGGAAAAAACTTTTGTGTGTATTTTGCTGTTAGGAAAAAAAACTCTTCTCTCAAACGTAATTATAAAAATGAATATCACGAGTCAAACAATTATTCATTAATTTCAGAATGATTAGAATCATAATAGTATAACAACGTGCATGAAAATAATGATTTACACTGAATAAATCCGAGAAAAATCTTCTACATGAGTTTCTTCGTTTGTATGATTAGTGCAATTAGAGCAATAGAAAAAAAAACTTGAAGATCTGTGTACTCATGTGTTAAGATGATTCAATTGAAAACAGTAAAAGAGATCATTGCGAGAATCGTTGGATCGCCGTCAATGTGTCGTGGCATACATTACATTTCTTTTACTAGGTGAACTGGCAAACGAGTTTAGAAATCAAAAGTTCCATTTAATTTTGTTAATGTATGGGAGAAATGTGACGATCTTAAAAAGAAATCTAGAAATGACATTCACTCATGTTCACTCGTTAGGAAGCCCTTCTACACAATGAGCTCTGAGCATGGTGATTTACAGTACAGTATTTCTTTACATTATTTGTCACGGTACGGTCAAAATGTATTGAATCGGATCCATCCGGAATGGTTTTTGTTTCAATAATTTAATTTCAATTTTACCTATCACATTTCAAAAATAAATGACAGTATAAATTGTTCATCACTCTCCTTCGTAACGGTTTATCGAATTAAATTTGGATCTCGACCATTGTCACATAGAATGTGAAAGTTTCAAACAAATTTTATGTCAAGATTTCAAAAAGTACATCATTTTCAATAAAAAAATTATGGATTTCACTATAAAATAGTGAGTAGTTCTTTTTTTAAAATTAAAATGAATGCCTTTTCTCAATAATTTTTTACATAAATGTCATCAAAGCAACGTCAATATGTTTTGACACCGAGTTCATTGAAAATACAGCTTCGTCTGTCGCCCTTTTCTCTAATGAATAAAACATGTTTTGCAATTACCTACAAGCTGCTTCATCACAACCAATCACATGTATGAATAAAAATTTACATTCTATAGGTCAGAAAACCACATCGTTGCTACCTTGTAAAAACAAAAACCAAAGATATACAAGTGTAAAAATAAAGACGCATGCAATACCCATCAATTGTTTTGTTTTGACTTTACCCAACATGTTTGCAATCGTCTAGGAAAAAGATAGTCGATTGCATTACGTTCATGAATAGCAAATAGAATGTATGCATACAATCGGAAATGATCGTGGCTAATTACCGCTTTTGGTTTTGGTATTCTATTGGCCAAGAATTTCGTAAGAATGTCTTTTTTAAGCAATAATGTACATATAAATCATATCAGCGCAACACTTAATACATCGTATAATGTTTGAAATTACTTATTGAGTTTTTTTACTTTACAGAAAAACTAGCTTTCCCATGTGGTTGTATTCGATCCAGTCGACGAGTAACTTATCACACCATTTGCTTATTTAGGCGAAATATTGATCCTGAAAGATTTCCAGGTAAATTGACTTCTGAAAATAACATCGTTTTTATTGATTTTGTAAGCGCAACACGCAACGAATCAAGTGGAAACACATTGTCAAGCATACTAGATCTAAATGCAAACGACTGTACATTTTGTTATCAATGTTATCAGTTTTATCAGGCGGTTATTTTTTTGTTCTCAGCAACTGCGCAATTTATTATGTTTGATTATTTGTAAAACCGTTCATGGCTTGAATGTTATTGGTACACTATACAGGTTCTTATTAAATTTATAATTATAATTGAAAGGTATCGAAGAAAAACTGGCATATTCCAAAAATGAGCAACAGCCGTGGTGGATTCTTTTCATTGAATCGATTATTAGGAAGGAAAAACAAAAATGAAAAGAAATGTAAGAAATACCAAATGCTTCTGTTCATTTAAATCAAATATAATATAATAATTACTTGGTTTTTATGATATAGCAGTTTCAAATGGTTTATCAAAATCATCGGTGCAAACATTGACAAGATCAACAACCAATTTGGAAGAGATTTCACCGCAAAACAAAATCACGCCATTGGCCACAGTTCATAATGCGCCGTTTGAACAAACATTTCGCATAACCGTGTATTTGCCGTTACAACAACTATATGTTACGCGGATTGGTGCAAAAGCCAAGCTGTCTGAACTATTGGATATGATTTGCACCAACAAATCACTCGTAGCAGATAAATATGAATTTAAACACCCAAGTTCGTACTTTTAAAAATATTGCATGAAATTATCAGTTGAAATCTAATTTTTCTTTTAAAATACTCTCATTTTTAGCTGATGACACACAAGTATTCGATTTAAGCTTCACGATCGGTGAAGTTGGATTGAATGAAATAAAGTTGGCACATAAAAGTGACAATGAAAAAACGTCGGTCAAATATCGCACAAATTCTAGTGGTCACATAAACCGTCCAATTGCCCGGCCTCATACAATATCATCGGCATCTCCTTATAGTTCAACGAATTCATTAAATTCATATGATTCGGCAGGAATGACAACAAATCGGTTAAGCGCTGATCAGCTTGCAAATCGAAAGAAGCGCATTGCACCAAGACCACCTAGTCAAAATTCAATACCCGAAAATCCTGAACAAAAACATATCGAACATGAGACCACATCACAGTTCGATCAATCTGAATTGAATCAAAACCATTTGATTCGTCAAAATTTTCATGTTTCATCTCCAAATCTGTCCGTAACTAATTGCACAAGATTAAAGTCATATTCGAGCAATTCCAGTACAGACACATCGATCAACAGTAGTTTGGATGGAAAACAAGATGTTAATTATATGAAAAATGCACAGAAACACCAGCAAAGTCATCTGTCGAACGATGATTTTGAGTTTCAAACGTCAGAAAGCAATAATTTACCATACACTCAATGTCATTCGAGAACATCCAGCGATACTTCAGACATCAATAAAGATGGCAATCTTTCGGAACTTCAAATGAGAGAAAGAAAACGTCCACCAATCGGTAGGTTTCATTATATATATAAATAAGCAAATTGATTGTGTTCAAAGGTACAGATTTTAAATCAAATTATAAAAAATAGGCAAAAAGAAAGCTCCTGCTCCACCACCACGAACCTCGTTCTTATCAAGTAATGGATCAATTTCAACATCAAGATGTGCATTACAAAAACTTAGTGAAGAGGAGATAAAAGATGAAAACGGAAACGTTTCTGCTGAATGTAAGCATTAAATAAGATCTACTCTATTTTCTCGACCTAGACATTTTTCGAAAAATAATTTGAATTTCTTTTTTTGAAAAATTTTAAGTTTCGAATTGATAGATGAACACTGTATTCAATGGTGTTACGTTTTTTTTGCATTTTCGCTTATCAATAAATTTAGAATTGATTGTAATTGACAAATACTTATTTTCATGTTTATTAGCACAAGACGTTGAAGTCAATCAGGAGTCGGTGGAACCATTAAAAAATGGCGTGAATGTGTCAAAGGTTATGTTGAATGTAAATGAGACTGGATACGTATCTATGGAAAACGACATCAGCAATAATTGGGAGAACAGCACAGACATAAAAAATCATAATAATACAACAATACAAGTCAATTATTCGGCGGTTGAGAAACCTGTCGAAACGTTAACTGTGCAAACAAAAGCGAAAAAGGTTTCAATTGTCGATTTTACTAATCCGGATCCCAATCATGGTGAAATCGAAATTGATACAAATGATGTTTCCCAGCAGGTCAATGAGATAATTGACGAAGCTGTCAAAATAAACGAAGAAATATTAAATGCAAAAAATAGCGAGCAACATAATAATAAACAAAGTAATGAGATAAATAATAACAACGAAAGAAATCTAGATCACACCACCTACGAGAAGAACAAATGGGCGCCAAAACAAAAAGAAATCGAAATTATAGAACATTTAAATTCAGAACATAGTAAATCAAATGACATAAAAACCGCTTTGGTCGAAGTTCCAATTCAACCAATTTTGCACGAAACGCGGACATTTGATTTTCAGGAGTATGGCGATAATTCATTGGCAGTGAGCAGCACAAGTACCACCGCAGAAACACCATCAACTGGTCCGAACAGCCTAATCACATCAGACATTGAAGACGGCTACAAGGGTAATGACCAACGACCAAAAATTGAATCAACATGTGAAGAGTCGAAAGAAGACTTCATTGAAAGTCAATTCGGGTTTCTCAGTGAACATGAACATTCAGAAGCGAACTCAAATGAGAACGATGATGTTGATGATGAAAAGTGCGTTCAAGCAAGTGGCATAATTTCATCCACAATGATAAGCGAGAACGATACTTTCAAGGAGTCACCATCGATAGTAAAAAAAGATGTGATCAATGAACTAACGCAATTTATCAACAGCAATCGTTTGGATGCATTCATAAGACCTAACAACGAAACCAACAATGCTGATGAAACTAGCAAACGAAGTTCGTTATCAAACTTTCACATTGGTGCCTATGCGAATGGTAACTCCAACACGTCCAATAGTTTAACAAATAACAAACAGCAATCTGGGAACGAAGATGATGTCAATCACATTCCACAGATCACAATTTGCGATAAAGAACAAAGTTCTGAAACACCTGCAATTCCGAAACCGATTGGTCATCAGATTGGTCGCTCCATGTCATTCCATTCAACTTTTCCCAGCGTCGCTGATCATGACGAAAATGAGAATGGAACAAGCATAGTAAACGGAACATCCCGAAGTATATCCTACATATCGTTAAATGGTACAACAAAACCAAACAATAACAATAGCAGCAATGAGACATTAAACGAATTCAATAAAATGTCATGTAAAAAATCATCTTCAGAGCTCAGCATTGCCGATACACCATCATTGCAGTCAATTGAGGTGATGAAATCCATTTTAAACAAATCACGCACATTGAATCGTGATGGTGTGCCATGTGCTCAGAAGAAAGCAATCAACCAAGAAAATGGCAAAAATAACCAAAGAAATTTTCATGAAAATGAAGTAAACCAGCAAACCAATGATGATATGGCTTCATCAAAAATGAAGACTGAGACAAAAACCTGGAAATATCAAGGGCCGCCTTCAGTAAATCTCTCAACGTGGGGTGAGAGACCGAAATCTCTAGTCCACATAAAAAATGATGAAGACTATATTTCCGGTGCGCCTTCAAAAGTAGTCACATCGAATGGAGATAGGCATAACAATGTCCGTCCTTCAGAAAAGCCTTTTCAAAAATCCGATGAATACTGTAAAAATAATTCGTGTAAATTACCAGTTGTTCGTAGCGTTGAATACAAGAAAAACACTCTGTCGAACAATCAAGATTCAAATCATGATGACATACCTGATTCAGTGCAGTTCAGATCGAACTATAAAATATCAAGAATTGTTGGGCAGCGACCAAATTCAGTTTGTGTTCCAACAACAAATTTGAATCAAAATTCGAATGAAAATCAAAATTCAGATAAAATTCCACGAGAAAAATCATTTCCATCAGTGATAAATCGAGTTCAAAGTTTCAATGGTCAGCATGAAGCAATCACTAAAAATAGAACAAATAATTCGGTTGGAACTAATGTCATCTCTAATAGGTTTAGTTCAAATGACACCGAAAAACCCATATTTTCACAATTTACGCTTCGAAAAACTGGCCTGAAAGAAAAAATTCTCGATGAATGCAATCCCAGTAAAAAAATTACAGTCAATCATTCCAGCAACCATTATAAGAAAATCCCAGTAAATGAACCTAAGGTAAACCAAATTCCAACAGCACCAAAACCACCCCCAACGCTAACTAAGCCCAAAAATCGGCCCGTGGTTGACACACGAGATGAATTGCTTAATTCCATTCGAAGTTTCAATCGCGACACGCTTAAGCGAAAATGCATATACTAAAAGTAAATCCAAATGCAATTTTTATGCTGGCGTATACGAAAATAGAAAAAAATAAAGCATCTACACAAATTGTTATTAGAAAATAAAATGCAAAGATTTAAATATTTAATAAACATATGATGGTGTTATATTCAAATTCTTTTATGCAGATTATTATTATTTTTTTTTTAATTTATTAAATCATGTCTTGCACAATATATTCCATGTAAATACTTAAAATTTGATTAATAAAGAACAATTGTTTTTGAAGTATTTTTGTTTTATTTTCATTTAATGGTGGAATTTACATCGGCAAATCTATGATCTGATTTTGAAAATGCCGCCGGGTGAGTTCGAAAATTTATGTAAATTTTTTACGAGAAAGAAAAAGAAATAAGTTTTTCTATCGGTAAAAAATAAATTGTTTTTAGATTGTCCAAGTCTTCTTTAGGGGGCTATTTAAATGTTTTGTCTTCGTAAGGATACCTATTTTAAAATAAAATTAGACAAATACATTAGTAATTTCAAAATAAAAACTATTTCATCTAATTGTGAAGCATTACCTTTATCGCCCAAATCAGAATTGTAGCCATATGCATATTTGCTGCCTTTGAACTGTAAATAAAAAAGAAAACATCAATTAAATATTATATCGACGTGCAAAACATCTCCAAAATTCCAAATAAATCTTACCTCTTCGTAAAGTCTATTTCGTAGTGCCTCATCCTCAGCTGAGATGCATAGATCAGGACAGTGGAAAAGGGGAAGTTCAGTATAAGTCGATAGAAAATCACGTTCATCCGCGTATGTCTCACGAGTTTCAGCCCAATCCAATTCAGTCCGAATAAAACGCCAATCTTTCATTTTTTCAGCCTCCTTTTCGTAGTGATCAAAATCTACGTCAAAACATAAGCATACAGATATATAATTTACATTTCGACAATTCCATAGAAAAAAGACATTACCAATTCTTTCAATATCTTCAACAACTAGTTCGATATCACCACCGTTTGACCAATCATAAACCAAGAGTTCAGCGTGCGAGCTGATGTCTCTTAAAAAGTTACGTTTGTATCCATCTTCGATTGCTTCCAAGAATTTGGTGTCTTTGAAAAGCGGTGAATTTGCTTCATTGTTCTTGTTACGTTTTTTGATATTTTCCTGCAAAACAAATGTGATTAAAATGTAATATAAGAGGCAAATTTACAATGTTCCTGTCGAACTTACAAGTGTTTTGTTGACTGGAACATCAAGATAAATAACCAAATGTGGCTTCAAAAGTTCCGGCAATGAGTTATCTCGAGTCTCAAGAATACCTTTATAAGATGCTTTGGTTATTAAATTTAATTTGTATAATGCATCGACGAAAACAATATCCGAGTACGGGGAACGTTCCATAATAACACCTTGGCCGGTCGACAGCAAATGAGCTAGACCATCAAGATAATCGTGGAATCTGTGATTTTTTTTTAATTTGTTAAATATATATAAATTAATTGTATATGAATCGGAAGGGTTCTTTGTTCCATTTTACTTACTTCAAAGAATACATATTAAGTTGAAATGAAGCTGTCAAACGATTTGTTGGCTCATTAACGAATCTCTTTTCGCAGAAGGTTTGGGCACCGGGTGGCAATAGATGGTCCAATTCACGCAAATCATATCCGTAGTCGTTAAGATAAACATCATCCATAGTGGCTTGCGGAATATAATGCATATCCAAATCTGCGGCTAGCTTTTTTGCAAATTCCGTTTTGCCGGAAGCAAGTGGTCCTTCGACAAGAATTAACTGTAAAATACATCAATATTACACACTTTTGAACGACTAATTTTATTTACTATCAAGGCTATCATCATACTTTGGTGTTGTCGTCAAAACGATGTGTGGTTCTATCAAACCAAGATGTAATCAATGAATACGTTTTATTTTTGTAATCAAATGGTGGTGGGCGCTGAATACCATTTAATTCTCTCCAGGCTTTGCTTTGAATGCCAGCTGCCTGCTGTATGGATGGCAATTGTTTGTTTAACAAATGTGAGCGTGCAACTCTATTGCCCACGGCTGCAAAACGAGTAGCATAGCGTACCAATCCAGCCATTGCGGGTACCTGCAGCGAGTCAAACACAATTTTTACAAATATTTTTTAATATGAAAAATAAAGAAAACATTTCGTTTTCATATTGAATTTTGACATGACTTTGACGTGATTACATCACACAATTTCGATAACCTGATTATTTGGTTGGAATTAAACGAAATTAGAACTTAAAATTATATACAGGTTGGATGCAAGTTAATAATTCCAACAACAAATAATTTAAATTAGAATATTTGATGACAATCACAAGGAATTTAGAAATATTTATTAACCTTTTCTATTTTTTTTTTGTTCAAAAACACACTCAATATTTTTATACGACTAAATGGTTGCCATTGACACTAATGACACTAATGACAGAATTTTTATGAGATTCACTATAGATGTCGCTGCGTACAATACCTCGCTTTCGAAATGTCAAAGCAAACACAAGCCATTCATTTGTATTGTCAACACTAAGCGTAACGGATATTGAAAACATAAACATCATTGAAAAAATTTAATAAAAAGTTCGTAAAAATGGATATGCAGCAAATAGATTTTAGTGAATATAAATTCGATCCAATTCCGTATGCTCGTGCAATTGAAACGCTTGCGAAACAAATTCATGGAACCAATTTTGAAGCAAATCAATGTTCAAAGTCAACATTTGATCAAATTGACGCACTAATCGGAGAAAAAACAGCAGAATGTTCGCAGATTGCAGAGGAAATAAAAAATGTAAGAAACGACAATTTAAAAATGCAAATCGAATTGGAATCGTTGAAAAAAGAAGAAGCAGAATTGTCGAGTACACACGTTGACCTAAAAGAAGGTAAGTTATTGTCAAAAAATTCAATCCATTCAATACTAATTTTCTTTGTACATACTTTCAGTTTTGAAAAACATCTGCAAAGTCACTTTCGTCCAAGATAACGAAAAATTCAGAACAATAACACAGAAGATACAGCGAAGTCTCGGATTCAAACTAAAATTGTTACAGTGCCATGATAATCAACATTTATGGATAGCCACATTTCTTTTTGACGTTTCCAACGAATCGGAGAGCAATCATTTTGTGGTTGTGTTATACAACAACGAAACATCCACCTTCGCCTGTACGTTAATCAATTACTATTAATATAATATTTGCTTACCAAAACAATACAAAGATTCAAATATTT